GTCTTCAAGTTCGAGGAATGGACAATGTGTTCAGGATTGCTCTCCCTGGAACATATTCAAGGGATGTGATACCAGCCAATAAGGACCATATTCCGACCCCCGACAAAGTGCAAGCATTGTCACACTTACGACAACTGTGTGATGTATTGAAGCCAACATACGATGTTGACATCGGTCTATTGATAGGCTATAATTGCCCACAAGCACTCATACCTCGTGAGGTTATCGCACCAGTTCAGGAAGGTCAGCCATTTGGACAACGTACCGACCTGGGATGGGGTGTTGTCGGTATCATTGATCAATCACAAATTGAGAACTCCAATTCAATTGGCATCAGTCACAGAGTGATGTCATGTGAAATTCCGCTCAAGCTACGTCCGCCGTCCGAAGTTCATCTATCTCAAAGAACATCTGTGAAGGAGCAGTTTGTTCCAAATGATGTGATCCGCATGTTCTCTGTAGACTTTAATGAGAATGACTACAATGCTTCCAACATCTCTCATGATGATAGGATATTCATGAAACAGATGGAAGAAGGCATTCATGTAGCAGAAGGACATTATGAAATGCCGCTTCCGTTCAAGGTTGGAACTCCAGAGCTTCCAGATAACAAGAGGATGGCATTTCAAAGACTTGATGGACTAAAATCACGTTTCCGTAGAAATCCAAAGTTCCACAGTGACTACTCCGCCTTTATAAATGCCATGATTAAAGGTGGACATGCAGAGGAAGTTCCTGTAGGTGAATTACATGCATGTAACAGATGGTATATTCCGCATCATGGGGTATATCACCCTAAGAAGCCAAATAAAATCAGAGTGGTTTTCGACTGTAGTGCCAGATATAATGGCAAGTGCTTAAATGACTGTCTCCTGAAAGGACCCGACTTAACCAATAATCTGTTAGGCATGCTCTGCAGATTTAGGCTTGAACCTGTTGCGTTGATGTGTGATGTGAAACAAATGTTTCACCAGTTCTTTGTCAACAAGGAACACAGGGACTATCTAAGGTTCCTTTGGTGGAGAAATGGGAACGTTGAGGATCAAGTTGTCGAATTCCGAATGAAAGTGCATCTTTTCGGTGCTGTGTCAAGCCCAGGCTGTGCCAACTTTGCACTAAAGCAAACAGTGACAGACCATGTGACAGACATAAGTTCAGCCACAGCACAGTTCATCAAGAACGACTTCTATGTCGACGACGGATTGTGTTCTGTTCCTACACCCTGTGATGCAGTGACACTCATTAATGAAAGCAGAAGTGTATGTGCAATGAAAGGCCTTCATTTGCATAAGTTCATCTCCAACTCTAAGGAGGTCATGTCAGCTATACCGCCTGAGGATCATGTAAGTGGTGTTCAGGACGTTGAGATTGATTGTGACGCCTTGCCAACAGAAAGAGCTTTAGGAGTACAGTGGTGTGCAGAATCGGACTGTTTCATGTTTCAGATACAACTTGACAGTCACCAGGACAAAGTTGTCACAAGACGCACAATATTGTCAATGGTTAGTTCCATCTTTGATCCAATTGGACTACTAGCCCCAGTTATTCTCCGAGGTAAAGCGATTCTTCAGGAGTTGTGTAAGGATCAGTATGATTGGGACACTCCGGTATCTGATGGTATCCTCAAGGCATGGAATGCTTGGAAAACAGACTTGAAATCACTTCATGATTTGAGAATTCCAAGATGTGTGAAACCACATGACTTTGGGAATGTTGTTGCAACAGAATTGCAACACTTCTCTGACGCAAGTATGACCGGTTATGGACAGTGCTCCTACCTCCGATTAATGAATGAACATGAACAGGTACATTGTTCTCTGATAATGGGTAAGGCACGGGTTGCGCCAATCAAATCCGTCCCAATTCCGAGATTGGAACTAACCGCTGCACTTACATCAGTCAAAGTTGGACAATTCCTCACTCATGAATTAGATCTCGGCGAAGTGCAAAACTTCTACTGGACTGACAGTCGAATAGTGTTGGGCTACATCTCAAATGACTCTCGCAGATTTCATGTGTACGTAGCCAATCGTATCCAACAGATCAGAGACAAAACGTCACCTAAACAGTGGCATCATGTAAGTTCATCTGACAACCCTGCTGATTGTGCATCCAAAGGGTTAACCGTCAACAAACTGTTGACATCCAAGTGGTTAAGTGGCCCAGACTTCCTTTGGGAAAAGGAGATTCCATCACCAAACTCTACTTCCGAATACTTCGTGGCAGCTGATGACCCTGAAATGAAAGGAAAGAAATCTGTGGTACTTGCCTGTGAGACAGATGAGAACAGCCCTCCGTACTCAATACTTCAGCGCTTGGAATATTTCTCCGACTGGTTCCGTGCCAAGCGTGCTGTTGCTCACTGTCTGAATCTGAAACGAAAGCTTCGGAAAAGTAAACAAAGAGATTGTGAATCAGTAGCTGGTTCAGTGCAAGTCAAAGATATTGAACAAGCAGAGATTGTAATCTTAAAGTTGGTTCAGGAAGAAGCATTCGGCGAAGAACTGAAAGTGCTTCAGTCCTTGAATCAAACAGGAACATTCAAGAACGAGAAGGCAACTGTACGCAACACATTTCTGAAATCAGTCAGTGCCTTGTATCGTCTGGATCCATTCCTGGACAGCAATGGGATCTTACGTGCTGGAGGACGGTTAAAACGTGCTCAGATTAGTGAAAACCTTAAGCACCCTGTTATCTTGCCAAAGAAGCACCACATAACAACACTTGTTATCCGCCATTGCCATGAACAAGTTCATCATCAGGGAAAAGGTCTAACACTCAATCAGATCAGATCAAGTGGATACTGGATCATAGGTTGTAGCTCAGGTGTGTCCTACTACATTTTGAAATGTGTTTCGTGTAGGAAACTCAGGAGCAAGGCTCAAGTCCAGAAGATGTCAAATCTTCACATTGATAGGACAGAAGAAGCTCCTCCATTTTCATTCTGTGCAGTAGACTGTTTCGGACCCTTTTATATAAAGGAAGGGAGAAAGGAGTTAAAGTGATTCGGTGTTCTGTTCACATGCCTGTGTTGCCGAGCAATACACATAGAGACTGTTGTGTCAATGAGTACAGACTCATTTATCAACGCCCTAAGACGCTTTATGTCAGTGCGTGGTCCGATCCGTCAACTACGATGCGATCAAGGTACTAACTTTGTAGGGGCAAAGAACGAACTGTATGGTGTTCTAACAAATCTTGATCAAAGAGAATTGAGACAATTCCTATTGCAGAGAGACTGTGATTTCTTTGAGTTCAAGTTTAACCCACCATGTGCAAGCCATATGGGTGGTGTCTGGGAGAGGCAGATTAGAACTGCAAGAAACGTCATATCTGCTTTACTTCATGACTTTGGATCACAGTTGGATGATGAATCCCTCCGTACTGTGATGTGTGAAACTGCTGCCATTGTAAACAGCAGACCCTTGACTGTTGACACTCTGTGTGATCCGTCCTCTCCAGAACCTCTGACACCAAATAACCTTCTTACCATGAAGTCTAAGGTAATCCTTCTGCCACCTGGAACATTCATTAAGGAGGACATGTATTCCAGGAAGCGATGGCGCAGAGTTCAATACATTGCTAATGAATTCTGGAGTCGTTGGAGGAAAGAGTATCTGCAAAGTCTTCAGTTGCGGCAGAAGTGGACTGCCCCATGTAGAAATCTTTCTGTAAACGACATCGTGATAATCAAGGACGACAATATTCGAAGGAATCATTGGAAACTTGGACGCATCTCAGAAGTGTACCTTAGTGAAGATAGTCTAGTCAGAACTGTGAAAGTAGACTGTGGTGAATCAAACTTTGTGAGACCAGTTCACAAACTTGTGCTTCTCTTAGAAAAAGAGAACTAACTGTGTTCAAATGTGTGTAAATTCATGTTCCGAACCGTGCTAAATTCATTTTCGGGTTCATTGAACTTTGTGAGTGATGATTCCGAATCCGATCCGAACTATTGAACTTTGTGAGTGATGATTCCGAATCCGATCCGAACTATAAACTTTGTGAGTGATGATTCCGAATCCGATCCGAACTATAAACTTTGTCACATTGATGTGTAATTTCATGTTTATTATTTTGTATGATTATGTGTTTTGACAAAAAGCATTAACCTTTGTTTATTGTCAGGGTATGACACTTGCCTATCTGCACTTGCAATACTGTATTGTTAGCCAAACCATTGTGTTTATATGTATACCACATCAGCATTTCTCATTGTTTAATGTAAATTAGGTTAATTCTAATTTCGGGGGGAGTGTAACGGTAGTCAGTCAGATATGGTAATAAGATATTTTAATAGCGCTTTATTGTTTCTTCTCATTAGTGGTGAGTATTGTTTTTAGCTCCCTTGGGGTATGGAGCGAGTACCATGCTTTCCGGTGAGAAAGGCCTATGTTTATCCGCATTCCGTCAAGATGTTTTACGGATTTCAGGGAATTGGACAACTGTGAGTTCTCTATATTAGAAATTCTGTAAAATAAACATCATGACTACTCAGTTTCTCCGTTCAGAGTTTTCGAAAACATTATATATATATATGTATATATTTATATATATATATTAAACTACGGTTATAATGAACTCAAAGGGACTACTAATTTTAGTTCGTTATAACCGTAGTTCGTTATAAGCATAAATACAGCATAACCGGGACCAAAAACGTAAGTTCGTTATATCCGTCAGTTCGTTATAAGCGTGTTCGTTATAACCGTGGTTTACTGTATACGATAAACAACGACCACGGATCGATTATTTCTTATATGAGATATCAACAAAATGTACAGCCTCCTTAAGGATGGTGATAAACCGTACAAACTTTTAATAAAACAAAAAACATTTACCCGTATTCAATAATGACTCCCTGAATAGAATCCGTCCTCGGCCATGTCGGACAAGTCTATTTTATGAACACATTCTGCATTGATTACAGCACAGCCGGTTTATGTTTTATGTGATCAGGTCCTTACAACGAAAAGAAAAATATTGATGATGTTGCTTACATTCATTGTGTACTGCACGATCCCGCCGTACGACATGTCGGGGTCGATAGCCGTGGTAATGGCGACGATGACGCCTACAGCGGCGGTCTGCAACAACAACGACACCATCTCCATTATCTGCCACACAGCTGTATATCAGTAGTATGAGTAATGGGACTGTAGAAGTAGTAGTAGTAGTAGTAGTAGTAGTAGTAGCAGTAACAGTAGTAGTAGCAGCAGCAGTAGCAGTAGTAGTAGTAGTAGTAGCAGCAGCAGCAGTAGCAGTAGTAGTATCAGTAGTAGTAGTAGTAGCAGCAGTAGCAGCAGTAGTAGTAGCAGCAGTAGTAGTAGTAGCAGCAGTAGTAGTAGCAGCAGCAGTAACAGTGGTACTAATAGTAGTAGTAGCATCAGCAGTAGTAGTAGTAGCAGCAGCAGCAGTAACAGTAGTAGTAGTAGTAGTAGCAGCAGTAGTAGTAGTAGTAGTAGTAGCAGCAGCAGCAGCAGCAGCAGCAGCAGCAGCAGCAGCAGCAGTAGTAGTAGTAGTAGTAGTAGTAGTAGTAGTAGTAGTAGTAGTAGCAGCAGCAGTAGTAGCAGTAGTTGCTGTTGTTGTGTAGTAGCAGCAGTAGTAATCGTAGCTGTTTGTTGTTTAACGCCGCACTCAGCAATATTCCAGCTGTATGTCGGCGGTCTGTAAATAATCGAGTCTGGACCAGAAATCCAGTGATTGACATCATTAGCATCTATCCACGCAATTGGGATACGATGAAGTGCACCAACCAAGTCAGCAAGCCCGACCACCCAATACTGTTAGTCGCCTCTTCCGACAAGTATAGTCGCCTCTCAAGACAAGCATGGGTTGCTGAAGACCCTTTCTACCCCGGATCTTCACGGGTAGTGGTCAAAAAGTGCGGAGTCGTCAAAAATGAAAGGGATGAAAAGCAAATGCGATATCTTGAATGGACTTTGTAAGATGTGACGAATCGTCACATGGCGCAGGTCTGTGGCAGAGATACTATTTGCTGGCCGCTAGGAACAGTGAGTGAGGGCGTTAAACTTTAACGTCGCATCGGCATGTTTTCAGCCATAGAGCGACGGGGTATGGTGCTGACAGACCTAGAAACATAATCAGGGCGAATCATAGGTTTTTGACGTGCCCATGGGACGCAACTCTGCACAGCGAATTACGACTGGGCAGCAGTTGTGGTACTGAGGTGAGGTGAAATGGGGTTTAACGTCGCGTCCAAGATAATTGCGCTTATAAAGCGACGTGCATGTACGTGTGTGTGTTTGTGTGGCTGCTTGTACTAGCCCGGACTGATGCCGATTTATAGTGCTAGCTCACTGAGATACCATGCCGCAGTTTAACACGAATACCCCACTCAGACACAGTATACTGACTCCGAGCCGACCAATCCTTGTTTTAGCCCTTTAATGCCGAGCGACAGACAGAGTAACAACAAGTACCATCTTTTAACGTCTTTTGGTATGACGCAGCCGGGGATCGAACCCCGGACCTTACGCTCTCCGGGCGGACGCTCTACCACTAGACCACGGAGGCGGTCAGTTGTGGTAGTAGTAGTAGTAGTAGTAGTAGTAGTAGTAGTAGTAGTAGTAGTAGTAGTAGTAGTAGTAGTAGTAGTAGCAGCAGCAGCAGTGGTAGAAGTAGCAGCAGGAGTAGCAGTAGTAGTAGTTCTTGTTGAAGTAGCAGTAGTTATACTAGTAGCAGTAGCAGCAGTAGTAATCATAGCTTTTGTTTGTTTGTTTGTTTGTTTGTCAGAAGTATTAGTTTCAATAGTAGTAGTTATTTTCTTAATGTAACTCTACACCTACCGAGGGTATCCTGGCAGCGTACGACTTCTGCGTGAACTGAGGGGCGTTGTCGTTGACGTCGTCGATGTTGAGAGTCACTGTCCCTGTAGTCTGCAACGAAAATACTGACAAGAAGGCGGGACCAACTGCACGACAATATCCAGTCTGATTTGCATTTCAATACGAACTCGTGTTTTGCGTTCTTAGGCTAAAAGGGCTTTCCAAATATACCTACCGAGGTTTCCCCGTCGGTTGCCACGAACACCAGTTTCCGTGTCGGGGACGCCTGTTGCAACATAGACAGGAGGCCGAGTAAACCACTAGGCATTATACAGGAAACAATCATGAAAATTAAGTCGGTGTTACAAGATGATACATCCTCATGAGAAAACTGAATATTGCATGATACAGATTGTGTCATTTCCATACGAGATTGGACCGCCTCCGTGGTTTTGTGGTAGAGCGTCCAACCGGAGAGCACAAGGTCCGGGGTTCGATCCCCGGTTGCGTCATACCAAAAGACGTTAAAATATGGTACTTGTTGTTACCCTGTCTGGCGCTCGGCATTAAGGGGCTAAAACAAGGACTGGTCGGCTCGGAGTGGGGTATTCATGTCACACTGCGGCATGGTATCTCAGTAGACTTGCACTATAAATCGGCATCAGTCCGAACTAGTACAAGCAGCCACACACATACACACGTGTGCATGCACGTCGCTATATAAGTGCAATAATCTTGGACGCGACGCTAAACCCCATTTCACCTCACCTCACACGAGATGGAAACAGAAAAGTGTACCCAAAACAGATTTTACGAGTGCTTTTTCTATTTAGAACATTTTATCAATGGGAGGGTTTCGGTCCGGCATTTGCAGTTAGCACAATTAATACCGCAGGGAGCATTAATACCGTTAGCACAATTAATACCGCAGGGAGCATTAATACCGTTAGCACAATTAATACCGTAGGAAGCAACGTATCATCAATCACTTGTGTATGGCTTGACGTGCGAAGCCCTTTATGTATAACTGAGCTACCCAACTGCCATTGAGCGTGGAGAAAGAGTGATAGTTCTTTAACAAATAGGGCGGTCGGGTAGCCTAGTGGTTAAAGCGTTCGCTCGTCACGCCGAAGACCCGGGTTCGATTCCTGACATGGGTACAATGTGTGAAGCCCATTTCTGGTGACCCCCGCCGTGATATTGCTGGAATATTGCTAAAAGCGGCGTAAAACGATACTCACTCACTCACTCACTCTTTTACAAAATTCCATTCACAAAGTGAATGCTCATGATGCTACATTATTACCCCGTCAATGGATCAGTGTGCACTTGATTCTCATTCTCCGCTCCTTGGGGAGTATACAAACGAAGGTGCTTGCGAAGCGCTAAAAGGTTAACGGTCACCATCTGGTACCCAGAATCATATTTCGAACAAATTCAAATTATTGCCTATTTAAAGGAGTCCCACGCGTGCTTCCGTGTGGGGCGGGACCGAAGACCTAGAATCTTCCAGGAATCAAGATCACGATCACCCATGAAACTACTCTCCGCCACCAACATACGTACGTTGCTTAACTGCACCTGATTTATGACCTTTGCGGATTAATTACGTTTGTGCTATGCACAAATGCACGCGGTATTTGTGGGTGCATGACATATATGTCATGCTATCCTGTAGGTACATGATCTATATGTCATGCTATCCCGTGGGTGCATGAACTATATTTCATGTCAAAAGCGCCTTCTCCGACAGCGAGGCCGGGATGACAACCTACGTAGTCCCTGTCGAGTATAGTGTTGAGGATGATGTCGGCGGTCTTCCCGTGGTTCGGCATGTCGGTCATCGGGCCCAGCCTCACCAATTCCGCAGTAGCATCGTCGGTGATGTTCAACACAAGGTCCTCGGGCCCATCCGGATCTACCGCCGTCAGCTTTCCTATGACGGTCCCTGACAAGAAAACACGGACTTCATTGGGTATTTACATGTACCGTCTTATTATACGAATCAAGTTTCTACCATTAATGTTAGCCGCGAATAGCTGGACTTAAAGCAACATTTACCCGCTAAATATACCATTAATGTTGCACCTTATAATATATAAATAGACCCCTATATCCATGTATCGGTATGTATTCATAAAAAAATCTTACGAAACAATACTTTACGGTGAATCGGTAAAGAAATTGACATGGATAGACCTTTGTGCAAGTTGTCTTTGTCGGGAATTATTTTTCGAAAAATATTATGTATTAAAAATATATTAAATTCACAGTGATGATCACCATTTACAAACGCTTAGGCACGACTGGTTAAAGTTGCCGGTCAAGACGGTGGATTCTGAAATCGTGTCAAGTCCCTCTTTCTGATTTGTCAGTCATAATGGTTTGATTGACAGGTGCGTTACGTTAATCGCATCGTTTAGTCGCCTTTCACTCGGTTAGCTTGATAGGGGAATACAGGAGAAATATTCTGTCTGGAGGATATCTTTTCGGCCACAGTAAGCAATATTTAGCTTTATTATGCCTCAAAGTCAGATCGACCAATCAGAGAGCAGAACTACTGACCCCACATGATGAGACCATATGCCGACAGTAACAGCCATTTTGGATCTTCCAACACCCACCTCACATATTTCACATGAAAAATCTGGTATGAAAATCGTTATTCGACACGGTTTTGTGTTTTAATATAATTAATGTTGATGTGCATGGACGTTAATGTTGTTTTGTGGATCACGTTCGTGACTTTAAAGGGGCACTGATCCAAAGCAATTCCCCGGGACTAGTTGTTGCCTTTTTTACTGTTTTTCCCCTGTGAGTACCCGGATGTATAGCAGAAATCTAGACTAGTTCGCGACCTCTGCTGTGCCATTCGTAAGCGCATTAGTCACTGTTATGGGTAGTAATAAGAGCGTATGGTCACATTGACCAACAAAATGAAATACAGTTTTCGAGATAATAAGGCAATGTAGGTATCTTTGTGGGTAACATCGGTAATGGTGACGAAGTTTTGATAAGTCACTTGCTTGGTAATTTTGCGATTTTCGTTAACACTATTTTGACTTGCAACACAAAGTAAATATTTCACCTGAGCATTGCTTTTTTTATAGTGTGTATATTTCTTTACTGTCAAAATGTGTAACATTTTCAAATTTATTAAACGCCTAAATATTCAGTTATTTTACAAAGTGACTGAAAAACATTTCCATCTGTATTATTATGATAACGAATTTCAAACATTTTGATGTTTAATGTCATCACCAAGAGACTGAAAATGTTACGTTGAAAAGTACATTTCTATGTTGTTTGGCTTCTAAATCCTACATAATAATCTGTTGTGGCGTTTGTAGGCCCTTTTGATCGTCTTAATCAATTTAAGTCAATCTAGACAGATTTTTCAGTCAAAATGACTGAAATATTTACACATTTTATAAATTGCCTGAGAGAATCACATTTTACAAATTGACGGTAATATATACACGCTTACAAAGGAAAAGACTTATGAAAACAACATCTATCGCGCATTGAAGAATTTCCCAACCAAGACATAGAGGAACAAGAACGAATCGGTTCAATGCTACAGCAAATGAAGGAAAACAAAATGCAAATACCATAATTACAACCTACCAAATTTATGTGTATAATTTTAGGCCGCTTCCTTGTTCGAGGAATGTATCCGTGAATATCCACACAAAGGAACAATATCTCACTCATCTGCAGCTGTACAAAGAAACTTATTCGATGTCACGTGTCTCTGTAACAATCAAATACTTTAAAAGATATATATCGTTTCGGGATATTATAACCCGTGTTCGTTTCTCAACTGATCACTTAGATTGTTTCAGGTGTTTCACATAGGTGTCAAGTCTCAAGGGTCGGCTGAGAAAGCCTACGTGACAACTATTTTCATAACGTCCACGGTTCCTAAAAAATCCATTGAGTGATAGATAACAATGAGCAATCAATCAACGTATTATCAGTTAACCCTTTAAACAAAGTATGTTGTCTTTACATCGGCACTTCACGCCATGATATGAGTGTATTCCCTTTGTTTTAGTAAACCTAGACATGTAAACACTCACTTTTGACATATCCACTGTGCAAGATAACAGTGATTAATCAATCAACGTATTTTCTGTTAATCCTTTGATGACTACGAACGATCCGTTGATTTACAAAAAAAGTAAATCAACTGATCATTCACCTCTTGCTGGGCTGCCACGTGCATATTACACAACACACATTTCACCTCACTTCAAACCTGGATTTAGATTGAATAATTACCCCAGACACAATAAATGCCAAATGGGAACCTTTGTACCTGTAATAAATTCATTAACTGAGCATCAAGTGAATGACGACAAATACACAAGTGTAGGGTTATACCAGAAAACGTGGATGGCAACAAGGGAGTAGTAATCGTATTATCGACGCAATCCGAAAACCGAAAATGCTTTCACTGCATGGATACTTTTTATTATTATTAAACTATAACCATCTGGGGTATTTCCAAATGATGACATCCGATGAGCTCCGCCGTTCTTTTTGTCTGTTTGTTTAGGCTGAAGAAATTAATTAATATGCGACCTTTGTCGAAATCTTTATAGATCATAGTTAACGCATCAGTGTTCAAAAATGCGTAAAACAAATATTGCCTCCAACCTCTAAGTTTATTTAGCTGTCCTTGCAGACGGTAGCCCAGTCTCTGGTCACGCTCAGTTGCGTTGCGCATCATCCGGGTACTCACGGGGGAAAAACAATAACAAAGGCAACAACCAGTACGGGGAATTGCGTTAGATCAGTGCCCCTTTAACAATGATGAAGTTAAATTTATCAACAAGGTATGGCCCCTGAGGTTTGAAGAGTAGTCTCCCTTTGACCCTTAACGTCTTAGGTTGTAAGTGTTAATTTTTAAGTTCTGACATGACAAGTGCAACAAAGATACCAAATATTGTAAACTTTTCGGCATAATAAATTCGTTATGGTGTCTTTAGTTGCCGTATACGGTGCCATATTAGGTTAGCAGAAAAAATATTGGCTATAACCTTGCCCAATATTTTTCTGCTAATCTAATATGACACCCTATATGGCAACTAAAGACACCATAACCAAAAATTTCATGGCGAGCTACAAAGAAACGCATCTGGACGGAAGCTATATGTGAGTGGTAGAAGCACCGATCAACACGCAAGAAGACCCCCAGGAGACCCCCAGGAGACCCCCTGAATCCAGACTGAGGCACCAGGGTTAAATGGCCACATTACCATTGTACCACTCACCTATCGCGGTGTCTTCACGCACTATCATGAATCTCCCACTGCGAAACACTGGGGCGTTGTTGCAGATTGCTGAGATGAAACGGAAATGCAGGAATTTGTTCTATAAACAACTGATTCAAAATAAAATTTTATTGACAATCAACAAGATTGCAAAAACGCTCCAGAATTTACTCGATCCTGCCTTTTTTTTCAAAAGTATAGAATGATAAGTATGTTAAATCAATACATGCAATCAACTATACTCATCGCCAAAATAAACGCGAACCATAGAAACATATAAAGAAGTATGTACGTTAAGAAGAGATGTTTCCAGTGTGTACCACTTAATGACAAAACAAACAATCAGTCAAGTGTTACCACAGTGTCTGTATTCTTATTACAATATGCTGTACGTGATTTCCAAACTTTACACGCTAATCCTGCATGAGACAAATGGTGCATCTCGTTTCATGGATCTGTGACGTCACATGTGATGCGTTCATGAGCGTCGGTTCACACAACATAACAGTATATTCGTTTGTGCATTGAACCAATCTGATGTCTCTTGAATATAGGTAATTCTTCATATAATAACCAACAAGTATGGTATTCGCGTTTCTTTTGTCGGTGAGTATATTTACAACAAACAATTAGGCGCAAAATCATGAATTAGTTTAATCCATTTGTTGACAGAATATAATTATGTACAGCTATAAAAATGGAAAACGTTGACAGTGTCAGCTGTCTCTTTATCACATCAATCTCAAAATTTCATAAGATTAGGATATATTACCATTCACTAATGTCACTACAGAAATCGACCCGTGAAGATCCGGGGTAGAATAGGTTTTCAGCAACCCATGCTTGCCGTAAAAGGCGACTATGCTAGTCGTAAGAGTCAACTAACGGGATCGGGTGATCAGGCTCGCTGACTTGGTTGATGCATGTCATCGATCACAATTACTTTGATCGATGCTCATGATGTAAATCACTGGATTGTCTGGTCCAGACTCGATTATTTACAAACCGCCGTCATATAGCTGGAATATTGCTGAATGCGGCGTTAAACAACAAACAAACATAATTATTTCGTAAAGATAAACATGATGTGACCCTGCACTAAATTAATATCAATATCATACCATTTACAGATTTGTCTATCACGATCAAGGAATAATTTATAATGTGTGGCAAAATACCATATCCTTACCTAGCGCAATGATGACAGAAAAAAGCGTCGAAACCAACACCAGCGTCATGTTGCCTGACTGTCAACACACCGACTCGCCACGAAACACAGACAGCTATACGTTCAAGTGAAGCTGTTTTCAATGTACGCTTGTGTCATATTATATATACAGCTCGCATCGGGTGTATCCGTCAGTATAGTTTTTCTCCCTGCATTGGTTGACAGGGTAGACGAGATTAGATCATTCCTGTTCCACCTTTGGTTGTTGTTTACAGAGAGATTGCTGATGTCAATACACGCCCAAACGAGGTGTGAAGGGTTCCTTAATATTCACACGTGTCTGGGCACCGTTCCCCAAAGCGATCTTAGCGTTACGACTATCGTAAGCCAGTGTTAAAGTATGGGACTTACGATCACCTTAGCGCTAAGATGGCTTTGTGGAACGGGGCCCAGAAGGCGAGGGTTCCAAAGAAACTTCGAAACGAGGGTCCCCGCTTCACAAAGCGATCGTAGCGCTAAGACGATCGTAACTCCTATACTTTAACATAGACTTACGACTGTCGCAGCGCTACATGATAGCTTTGTGGGAAAGGGCCCTGAGGGCGTCACGTGTGTGGAGATTACACTTATCTATTAACAGTGATGATACAGTGTATATTAACATAAGTTTTAAAGTTGTATGTCCTGCAGACTATTCCCATTTAGATCCAATAACAAGTGTCGCGAATGAGAAAAAAGGAAAGAGAAAACAGGGAACAGTATTGAATCCGAAGTTATCTTTTCTCACCTGGAAAATGTGGGGCAAATTATCCTCATGAGGCGCCATATTGTTCTTATTGTTACTGTGAATAAATTATGAAGTCGAATTAGATAAAAAGAGACTCGAGACTAGTTCCACGTGTTTATTTCTCTGTTTGTTTGTTGTTTAACGTGATTGGGATACGATGACATGCATCAACCAAGTCAGCGAGTCTGATCACCCGATCCCGTTAGTCGCCTCTTACGACAAGCATAGTCGTCTTTTACGCTGGTTTGGTGGGTTTGTTGTTTAACGCCGCACTCAGGATTATTCCAGCTATATGACGGCGATCTGTAAATAATCGAGTCTGGACCACACAATCCAGTGATTGACATCATGAGCATCGATCCACGCAATTGGGATACGATGACATGCATCAACCAAGTCAGCGAGCCTGACCACCCGATCCCATTAGGCGCCTCTTACGACAAGCATAGTCGCCTTTTACGGCAAGCATGGGTTGCTGAAGACCTATTCTACCCCGGATCTTCTCGGGTTAGTTCCATATATGGAAGGAATAACTCCATTATAGATACCCTGGGAAGAGCGATAATTTTTGCAACACAAAAAACGATAGATGATTTCGCGGAGAAGCTGCGAGGATACTAGCATCTTTAAACCAGTTGCAATTTAAGATACAACGAAAGAAAAGATAACTGATTTTCTTTTCACATTAACGCTTCAGTGTTAGTTAGGCTGCTCCTACATAAATGTAAATTGAAATTAAATTCGTTTTAATTATTTCTAAAAATAACGTCAGACGTAATTAAAAGCTTATTAAAGTGGAAGAAATGTTTGTCATCCTGGGTGGTGGCGTGTGACTAATGTGGTATTCTGACATACATGATGGTGATTAATCGTCTTACGGGGGATTACGAGTCGCGAAATTCCTCCACCTCCAGAGGCGATATCTCATTCAAAGACGTTGTCTAAGTGGTAGGGAATGAACACAACATAGCATCTTCAGATGAGGCAGGGTTTATTGGTGACAGACATAGTATTACGTTGTTAGTGTTACATATATGTTGTACCCGTGAAGATCCGGGGTAGAATAGGTCTTCAGAAATCCATGCTTGCCGTAAAAGGAGACTATAGATCTACTGTCGTAAGGGGCGACTAACGGGATTGTGTGGTCAGGCTCGCTGACTTGGTTGATGATGCATGTCATCGTATCCTAATTGCGTGGATCGATTCTCATGGTGTTCATCACTGGATTGCCTGGTCCAGACTCGATTATTTACAGACCGCCGTCATATAGCAGGAATATTGCTGAGTGCGCCGTTAAATAACAAACAAACAGACAAACAAACAAATGTCTGTTGTTCTTGTTTGGTTCGTTAATTATTATTTTTGTGTGAATTGTATCGAGGTAGATATGTGAGATAATTGAACAATCGGTAAATGTGTATACAGGAATATGTCAAGATGAACTGTAAACGGGGCTCATGTCACATATTTTTTAACCTAATCGGCGGTAATAAATGGTGCATTAAAAATTTGGATTCCTGTACGAAATCCCAAATTCCTGTAACCTTTTCACTGATTCTTCTGAAACAGATTAGGTTTATTATGACAGATGAAAAAACTAATCGCAGCTGCTATACAATCTTATCACACGAAACGTTATTACTAAAAAAATGTTACTCCAACAGTCCAACCAAGAGCCTGTACTCTAACACAACGCTTTTCCTGTGCAAGGAGCTTGCGTTGTTGTCATGTGATGTAGCCAAAATGGCGGACGTAAACGATGAACAAGTGCCCGCGGAGAACAGTGAGGATGTTGTAGAGACAGAGGCAGAGGAATCGACACACTATATGTTTGAAGATGGACAGGTTTTGACTTACATATATAATTACTTATATGATTCCGGTTAGGCGTTTCACACAATAATGCATGTAGGACAATACACTGCCTGGTAGTGGTACACCGACTCTGTTTACAGTCACATGCAATGAGTCCTCGGTTGGTGCGCTGTCTGTTCCGTGTCGGGCTTCGAAGAGTATTCGAGTCGAGTTTAGTGGGACTCGAGTCCAGTTTGAAGGACTCGAGCACTCGACTAAGGGAGATAAGTCTCATTTGGTCGACTTTCAATAAGTTAATAGAAACGTGTCTTCTTTCTTTTTCACGAGTAAACAATTAAATCAAATAAAAGTGTCAAAAGCTTTTCTTGTAGTTATTTTTCGAAACAATACACTTATATACAACCATTTCATAAGGATATTTCCTGGTTTAAAAAGTACTTTATTTCTTGTTTAAAAGGAATGTTTTACGAAACTATTAAAGGGGCACTGATCTAACGCAATTCCCCGGACTGGTTGTTGCCTTTGTTATTGTTTTTTTCCCCGTGAGTACCCGGATGATACGCAACGCAACTGAGCGTGACCAGAGACTGGGCTACCATCTGCAAGGACAGCTAAATAAACTTGGAGGCTGGAAGCAATATTTGTTTTACGCATTTTTGAACACTGGTTGGTTAACTTTTAAGATTTATAAAGATTTCGACAAAGGTTGCATGTTAATTAATTTCTCCAGCCTAAACAAACAGACAAAAAGAACGGCGGAGCTCATCGGATGTCGTCATTTGGAAATACCCCAGATGCTTATAGTTTAATAATAAAAAAAAGTATCCCTGCAGTGAAAGCATTTTCAGATTCCGGATTGCGTCGATAATACGATTACTACTCCCTTGTTGTCATCCACGTTTTCTGGTATAACCCTACACTTGTGTATTTGTCGTCATTCACTTGATGCTCAGTTAATGAATTTATTACAGGTACAATTAGTGGTAGCACCACTTAGATTACCTGACAAAGGTTCCCATTTGGCATTTATTGTGTCTGGGGTAATTATTCAATCTAAATCCAGGTTTGAAGTGAGGTGAAATGTGTGTTATGTAATATGCACATGGCAGCCCAGCAAGATGTGAATGATCAGTTGATTTACTTTTTTTGTTAATCAACGGATCGTCCCTAGTCATCAAAGGATTAACAGAAAATACGTTAATTGATTAATCACTGTTATCTTGCACAATGGATATGTCAAAAGTGAGTGTTTACTTGTCTAGGTTTACTAAAACAAAGGGGATACACTCATATCATGGCGTGAAGTGTCGATGTAAAAACAACATACTTTGTTCAAACTTCAAGGGTTAACTGATAATACGTTGATTGATTGCTCATTGCTATCTATCACTCAATGGTTTTTTAGGAACCGTGTCACGTGGGCTTTGTCAGCCGACCCTTGAGACTTGACACCTATGTGAAACACCTGAAACAATCTAAGTGAGAAACGAACACGGGTTATAATATCCCGAAACGATATATATCTTTAAAAAAAATTGATGGTTACAGAGACACGTGACATCAAATAAGTTTCTTTGTACAGCTGCAGACAAGTGGGATAGTGTTCCTTTGTGTGGATATTCACGGATACATACTCGAACAAGGAAGCTGCCTAAAATTATACACATAAATTTGGTAGGTTGTAATTATGGGATCTGCATTTTGTTTTCCTTCATTTGCTGTAGCATTGAACCTATTCGTTCTTGTTCCTCTATGTCTTGGTTGGGAAATTATTCAATGCGCAATAGACGTTGTTTTCACAAGTCTTTTCCTTTGTAAGCGTGTATATATTACCGTCAATTTGTAAAATGTGATTCTCTCAGGCAATTTATAAAATGTGTAAATATTTAAGTCATTTTGACTTAAAAATCTGTCCAGATTGACTAAAATCGATTAAGACGATCAAAAGGGCCTAAAAACACCACAACAGATTATTATGTAGGATTAGAAGCCAAACAACATAGAAATGTACTTTTAAACGTAACATTTTCAGTCTCTTGGTGATGACATTAAACATCAAAATGTTTGAAATTCGTTATCATAAAAATACAGATGGAAATGTTTTTCAGTCACTTTGTAAAATAACTGAATATTTAGGCGTTTAATAAATTTGAAAATGTTACACATTTTGAGAGTAAGAAAATATACACACTATAAAAAAAGCAATTCTCAGATGAAATATTTACTTTGTGTTGCAAGTCAAAATAGTGTACACGAAATTCGCAAAATTACCAAGCAAGTGACTTATCAAAACTTCGTCACCATTACCGATGCTACCCACAAAGATACGCACATTTCCTTATTATCTTGAAAACTGTATTTCATTTTGTTGATCAATGTAACCATGCTCTTGTGACTAATGCGCTTACGAATGGCGCAGCAGAGGTCGCGAACTAGTCTAGATTTCTGCTATACATCCGGGTACTCACTGGGAAAAAACAATAACAAAGGCAACAACCAGTTTCGGGGAATTGCTTTAGATCAGTGCCCCTTTAAACTGTTGCAAGCAGTAGACCTATTCATTCTAAATTAGCGCTGTCCCGTTAATCATCATTCATTCAATATTTTCATAAGATATTTATAACTGGACATCACTTTATTGAATTTTAAGATTGTGTTACTGTATCACATTCTAATTATCTCTTCAAATGTCGGGAAAACATCTTAAAGAAGTCAACTATAAATTTACAAGCCTAGTAATCTTTCAATGTTTTGTTTTCAATTAAGAAAAAGGTAAATACTGACTTGTGAATTTGTGACAACATTGAAAATGCTCATTTTAACTTTTTATGTATTTTGTCATTTATTGACAATTTCCTTCGGCGGTGGCATCAAATGATCTTATTTATCATATAAGGTATACCTAAGATTAGTAAGAAGCCAGCCTGCAAAAATCCAGCCAGTCACCAATCGCAACATACATCACGTGACGATCATGTGTGCGAGATGTAAACGAAACGAAAATATCTGCTGTCACCGAGTTCGCGGTGCACATGCTTTGCAAATCCTGCAGTTGACTGAAATCAGCACAGCAGTTTACGAACCCAATGTCGATTTCGTTACGCAATTTTTATTAGACTATGTATTGACTCGCATTGTACAGCAAAACTATAACTCCATAATTGCAGCATAGTTTGGCAATGTTGGAAACTGGACTTTTATGGTCAGTTAATTCCCTTGCTTTGGGAAGATAAAACAAGGCTGGGAAGAGTCTTTTCATTGTTTTTTCCTTCAAGTCAAGTCTGTGTAATTTCACTGAGCAGAACATTCCTAAGCAGCTGTTGACATACTTTGTCACCCTGAGACTTGATATTCCTGCATCCTGAAGATCTTGTCAGTTTTACTGTTTGGTGATTTGGCTACCTTCTTTCGCATTGGCTCAAAGTGTTTTTGTAATGTTTTATACTTTCTTTCCAGTGTTTCTTATTTTCAGATGTGAGATTGTACTGTGGGCTTTAGTAAGTGCTAGGCTTATTCGTCGTCTCGTTACTGCTCTTCTAGGTCTTAAAAGTGATGTACATATCTACATGTATGCAGATGATTTATGTACATTTGCAGTGTCTGTCATTTCTTTACAAAGAAAATAGAATTGCTGTTTAATTTTTGTAAGAAGTGGGGTTCATCTTATATCAACTGGACAAAACTAAAATTTCATGCAACAGCAGCAACAGTTGCATGTAACATTGTGCAAAATAACAGTAGCAGCATTAACATTGACCGTTATAACAGTAGCAGCATCACACACATCTTCCACCATGTGGGCGGTCAGGTAGCCTAGTGGTTAAGCGTTCGCTGGTCACGCCTAAGACCCAGGTTTGTTTCCCGACATGGATACAATTTGTGAAACCATTTCTGGTGTCCCATGCCGTGATATTGCTGGAATATTGCTAAAAGGGGTTTAAAACCATACCATGTTTCATTTCGAATGAATAAACAGGAAGTGGAGAGTTGTTTGGCAAGACAAGTGTCTCATTTCCCGTTCAGGTTTCTAACAGAGCCTAAATGAGATAAAACTTCAACTGAAGATGAATTCACCTTCTACTTGAATGTCCAGTCTATTATGACTTGCACCAGAAATATTTCAAAATGTTACTTGTCACAATGTGTACATTGACAGAGATTTTTTTTTTTTTATTTGCTTTGCAAATATATGTCATTCACAACATATTGTTCAAACTATGTTAAAGATGCTTTGGCATTATGATCTTTGTATGTGTACATTGTAATACATGGATTATTGCTGCTCTGCCTAAAATGTCCCATTTGTGCTTTTGTGCTTGAGCCCTAGGATTTATATGAAAAACAAAGGAGACTATGCTTGTCGTAAGAGGTGACGAACGGGATCGGGTGATCAGGCGCGCTGACTTGGTTCATGCATGTCATCGTATCCCAATTGCATGGACCAATGCTCATGATGTCAGTCACTGGATTGTCTGGTCCAGACTCGATTATCTACAGCCCAGTGTCATATAGCTGGAATAGTGCTGAGTGCGGTGTCAAACAACAAACAAATTATATGAAAAACAATGATCGTGATGATTGACTACACTCTGAACAAGTCCCTAAGGTCTCGCAAAATACCATTCCTCACACTGTTAGTATCATCTCCAAGAAAACACAAGGCTGTTGAAGCTGAAATTTGACATGCTTGTTCCCATCAATAATGACATCCCAAATTATCCAAAAAGGTTCAAATCCACTTTTCAATATGGCTGCCATGCCAAGTTTGGTCTCTGTGAAGATTCTGCATCGTAAATCAGACTCTTGAGCACTTTGATCTGACATGTGTCAAAATGCCTTCTTCCTCATGTTGTTTTGCATGAAAACTGAATAATGTGGGGTTTTGTTTTTTTCTAAGTCGTCTAAGGCGCCGTGATTCGCTGTGATTCGCTGTGCAGAGTTGCGTCCCTTTTGGCACGCCAGAAACCTATGATTGTGGGTTCGAATCCCAGTTCGCCCCGATTATGTTTCTAGGTTTGTCAGCACCATACCCATGCTCGTGAGTTTCACCGAAGTGGTAAACGTCTGAGACCTGCATCACTTCGGGCTTTCCTCCCACATTAAGCTGACACACCATGATATAACTGGAATACAGTTCAAAGCAGCATTAAAACCGACTCACTCACTCACTCACTCACTCACTCACTCACTCACTCACTCACTCACTCACTCACTCACTCTAAAATCACAACATTACCACATACTGATGAATAATGGAATTTGTCTTCCAGTTATCCTGTCTCGGACAAGACGTTGAAGAAATCCCTCAGGCGGCTATAGATGACTATGCCAAAGTGACACGGAGATTAGATCTCAGCTTTAACAGATTACAGTAAGACTTGATGTTGATTCAGTCTGATACTGCTGTTTACTGATCCCATGCAAACAACCATGTGGTGTACCCCACCCAAAGGAAGATATTGTATATCTAATTTTGACAAAAACATGTGATTGGCTGAAATTGAGGGTCAAGGTCATTAACCAGGAGAAGCATTGAATTTTGTTATAAATGCAGCTGGAGGCATAAGGTTTTCTGTTTTGAAGATATTATTCATGTATTGACATGTGTTTCCCAGACCAGAAGTGATGTATTCAACTGGAAGTTATATAAATAAGCAGGAAGTGATATAATTTAACTGGACGTGCATGTAGCTTTCTTACTAAAGTTAGCTAGTATTTTTTTCCCAAACCTGGAAATCATGTAATTAAGTTGGAAATCTGGATAAAAATGATGAATGGGCATCATGTGATGACATAATACTGGAATTCGGAATAGAGGAATAGCAGGAGGACTATGTAACTATAAGGGTTTAGAGCGTGTGTTGTCTAAGACCACAAGCATCATCTTGGGGCCATTATATAAGATGTAGCAGTATCACTCGGGGTACATTATACTACATAGGGTTTTATGCGTCCTGTGTTAAGTTTTATGCTATACCACAACCCCGGGTACATAGGGTTTTATGCGTCCCATGTTAAGTTTTATGCTATACCCCGACCCGGGGTACATAGGGTTTTATACGTCTTGTGTTAAGTTTTATACTATACCATGACCTGGGGTACATAGGGTTTTATGCGTCCTGTGTTAAGTTTTATACTATACCACGACCTGGGGTACATAGGGTTTTATGCATCCTGTGTTTAGTTTTATACTATACCACGACCTGGGGTACATAGGGTTTTATGCATCCTGTGTTAAGTTTTATACTATACCACGACCCGGGGTACATAGGGTTTTATGCATCCTGTGTTAAGTTTTATACTATACCACGACCCGGGGTACATAGGGTTTTATGCATCCTGTGTTAAGTTTTATACTATACCACGACCCGGGGTACATAGGGTTTTATGCGTCCCGTGTTAAGTTTTATACTCTACCACGAGTGGCGAGTGGTATAAAACCTAATGAGGGACAAATAAAACTGCATCTACCCCAAGGAATGACAAAATATGTTTTGTGAAACAGTTATAGAAACAGATGATTGTTTACGGAAATATTTTGACTCCAGTAAGGAGACACATTAATATAAGTTAAATGGTTTGATAACGTCTGGATTAGCTGGATGGGAGGATCTGCTAGCAGGGAGGAGACTTGTTCATTACGAAGACTTAAAAGCAACAGATCATTAGAAAATTATGGAATCTACAAAAACGTTAGAAATAAATATAAAGCAATAACAAGAAAGGGTAGATTAATATAACAAACACAGTTATATATTCAGATAAACTTCTCAGTGAAGATTTAACAACATTTTGGCGAAAACTTCAGAAAATCCGAGAATACAATCACATTTTTAGTTCAGTTTCACTGGAGCCATGGTTCAATCACATCAGTGCTCTTTGCTCAGAAAATCAAGCTTATGAGGATACTAAGGATACATTTTCAATAGTACACAAGAAAATGCTGTATGTTACTGAGGAAATAAATTCTGATATTACTGTTGAGGAAATTACAAAGGCGTTCGATAAACTGAAAATAGGAAAGGCACCAGAGCATGACAAACGTATAAGTGACTCGTTTAAGGAAGGAAAACCGTATTTACTGGAATACCTGTACAAGAAGTTCAACTACAGTTTTAGAAATAGGATATTCCAACAGTAGTGGACACTTGGCATAAAAGTGGAGATATAAATAATCCTGATAATTATAGGGGCATTACACTGATGAGTGCTATGAGTTAGCTGTATACTTCAGTTTTAAATGAGAGATTATCTACATGGGCTAGAGAGTATGAAAACATATACGAGGAGCAAGCTGGATCTAGATTAGTTTACTCTACAACAGACGTTTTTGTGAAGTGCTGTTATCCAAGACTGTTTATCTAAACGTAAAGGAAGATTTTTTGTAGCCTATTTTTAATTTTAAATTTCTTTTTTGATTCAGTTGATAGAAATCGCCTTGTTATACTTGACAGAACTTCATGTGTTATGTTCAACTTACGACAGTGTAAAATGCGAAGTTAAGATAGATAATATATTTTCTGAACTGTTTGATTGTATAACTGGTTTATGACAGAGTTGTATCATCAATCTATTGTTATTCTCCCTTTATATTAATGAGTTAGTAAACAAATTGTATATAAGAGGTGATAGAGGAACGCAGCTATACCCAGATCTTATGGACTTGTTAATATTACTATTCACAGATGATATTATACTTTTCTCAGATACCATATTTGGACTCCAGAATCATTTAAATACTCTAAAATCATATTGTGATAAATGGCAATTATCAGTCAAAAGTGACAAAACTAAAATAGTTGTCTTTAGGAAATCTGGACATCTGAAAAAATGTGGATCTTTGAAATCTGGAGAGGCAGAAGTAGAATTTGCATCAAAATACAAATATATCTTGGAGTTATTTTCACTTTACATCAAAATATTCAAAATAAATTAAATCAGTTGATGCATTTTAACCTATGAAATGTTTTGAAAATATTCAACATTAAAATAAAACCAATAATTATGTATCAGCTGATGTATGCCTCTGAAATTTTGGGTTGTCAAAACTTTGAGGTTTTAGAACAAAAACAATATACTGCTTGTTAAAGATTTTTGGGCATTTCACAAATGTCATCGTGAATGTGGAAGGTATCCATTCTTCAATGATTCTTTGCTTAAATGTATTAATTATTGGTTAACACTTATTAGCATGCCTGATTACTGTCCTACAAATGCCTATGACATGCTATAGATGTGCAAAACAGTTATTTTGAGGCAACATTGGTTAAACTGTCCTCATTTAAACATGGGTTTAGTTAGGCTTGGATCTAAAAGAATGTCCGACATGAAGTGTGTTTTATTTAAGAAATAAACAACGAGTGGGTGTTGTTTTTCGTACCATAACACTGCAGGGAGAATAAACCATAAGGGGCAATGACCCGAGTTGTTTATTCTCGCTGCAGTGTGTTATTGTATGATAAACAACAACCACAGGTGGTTAATTTCTTATCTGACTGAGATATCGATATTATGTACAGTCTCTTTAAGGATGATGATAAAATGTACAAGCTTTAAAAATATTTACCAATTTTTAAATAATGATGACTCCCTAAATAGAATCTGACCTCGGAAATGTCGGACAAGTTCATTTTACGAACAGGTGGGTTAAGTTTGGTATTTTCCCGCATATTTTCACAATCCTCGTGTCGATTATCTGTACATTTTCTCCTATTATTGATTGTCATATCTCTCCCAATGTTGGATGCGATCTTAAACCCTGCGTTTATGTGCGTAGCCAAGCTACATCTATGGGGTACAACTTACTGGACACTAAGTCTGCCCTCTCAAAAATAACATTCAATATATGACGTCATCAAGAGAGCATATTCAGATCTCCAGAAATGACATCATGATAGAACAGTGTTTTCTCGTGAGCATATTCAGATCTCCAGAAATGACGTCATGATAGAACAATGTTTTCTCGTGAAATATACCATTCTTCGTTCTTCATTGTTCTTTGTGATTTTTCAGGTAGCTATCTTATATAAATGAAATGAAAATGAGACTGTAAGACTTTTCTTCTCAAGAATGGAAAATTACAATAGCTGAAAGCTCAATCTTTTCTAATCATTGTGTGATCTGATATGTGCAAAGCAAAGAATTGTTTAGAAAACTTAATGTAATCTTTAAAAATTCTTTGTTGTTGTTATTATTTCGTAAATAAAAATTTTAATGACGAATTACTCATTTACTGCTGTACTTCCTTTTCTGCTTTTGTGTGAAAACTATGTACGCCAATGGCCTTGAATACAATAAACAGAATAGACCTGAACCGATCACCATTAATGATAGTGTAAAACCTGATTCACCCACTCACCCACCTACACACTTGCACCCTTGCATGTTCATGATTTCAGGAGAATCGATGGAATAGTACATTTTTCAAGTCTTGAAGAACTGGTGCTGGACAACAATGAGCTCAATGACAACCTGAAGTTTCCCAAGATGACGTCACTGCACACACTAACATTAAACAAGAATAAGGTAAGTGTCCGTTCTGTGTTGAATACAGACTTTATTCGAATCATGAGGATTTTATTATAAGTTGTAGCAGGATCAGGAGGGGTACATGGGGTTTTATGCATCCCGAGTTAGGTGTTATACCACGAGTGATTTTAATGTGACATTGTGAAAGAATTAAGACAAATTCAAAATTGATAGACAACAGCTGTTCGATTGAGCTTAGGTTAAGATGTGCTATGTCATGTGACTTCCTTTGACTCTGAAAAAGCCTGTAGCTTTTTGCTTTGAAGCAGGGTATAAGGGATTTATTCTGCCTCTCAGAATACACGTGCAGCCTATATTGCACATGGCGGGGTATAAGGGATTTATTCCCCCGCTGAGAAATTTATTACCTTCCAAGGCGGGATACACAGTATTTTATCAAGATCACATGGACCAATCACATGTCATCATTCTGTCGTGGAGGTATGATAATGTTATTTTTCTGAAAATTAACACATAATTCAAACATCATATTCTCAGGACAACAAAGCTTAAGGGATGTGAGCAGGTTTTCCCGATAAAAAAGAGGAAAAGTCTAGGGGGTCTGGGGGCATGCCCCACCCCCCTCAAAATTTTGTAAACATTTGATTGCATTTTAAGCAAATTCGTGCAGTTTGGACAACATTCACACCAAGAAATGTAAAAAGTCAATGGCAAAACTCAATGAGTCAAATAAACAAAGATGGAGGATGCAGTAAAATTTCAAAGTTAAATCAGTACTTTTAAAAAATCGGGCATAGCTTCCGCGCACCGGCTACCCGCCAGGTCTGGGAGCAATACTGCCATAAACTTCATCCCCCAGATACAAGGACAACTGTCACAAGTGTGCAATGTCTGACCCTTTTCCCATGTTGAAGCATATGGAATAAAACTTACCTTGTACTTACTTACCTTTTGTTGAAAAAAACAAAACTCAATTGCAAACATAAGACATTAATACAACATATATCCCCATGTTATGGGTTTTTGGACGCTGAAGAAACATTCATGGTTTTCTCGCTAATCACATGAACAACTGTAAAACATCTCATTCACTTATAGGCTAAAAGACAACTTAATCTTAAAAACAAGCTATCATCGGGTATTTAAATTTCTGTGTGAGGCCACACCCCACGTTATAGTGCAAGTATTTGTGATAGAAAACGTTTGTTGTCTGAAAACCTATGATGCTCAAAGCTCTGATAGAAAACAGGACAATCTGCGACAGTTGTCCGGTTTTCGATAACATTTTTTGGAGGTTTTTTTTTTAATCTTTGATTTTATATTTACACTGAAGATGTTTTTTCCGAGGACTACTGTTTTAAACAACGTGATTTTCCGCGTTTCTGCAGAGATTTCACATCCCTGAAACTTAGAATGGTGAACCTTTGTGTGCATTATAATGGCTGTAAGATTTCAAGGCAGCTTGATAATCATTTACCTTCTGTAGATGCACATGATGTTGTAAAAATAGATTTCTCTTTTTTCGCAAATCTGTTGAACGCAGTTGCCGATGCTATGCATAGTTGTTTTGGGTTTTTTTCTGATTAAAAAGCTTTATTAAAATGAAGTTATCTGTTTCATATTTATCAGTCAGTCATTATTTATGTAGGAACTATTTGGATAGCTATTAGAGGTGTAATGAAATGGTGGGTTTCGATACGATACGTAGCTTGATACTGTGGGTGTGATATGATTCGTATCCTACTACAGTACCGGGTAGTTCTATTTCACAAGTTGATATTCTTTCTCTTTAGAGATGAGTCACAACCCTGAATCATTTGTTATTAAATTTCAGAGATCAAAGAAGGGATAAAAAAAACCAAGCATTCTTACTGAAAGGATTAATGTATTCTAAGGACTTTACCAGTGATCCTGTGATTTCAGATTACCAACCTAGATGGACTTCTAGATAACTTGAAATCTCAGCTTCCGCAACTGACCTATCTGAGTCTACTTGGCAACACAGCTTGTCCAAACCAGCTCTCCTGCTCCGATAAGGATGAAGAGGATTATCAGAGATACAGGTGCGCTACTCTAAGACGACCTATGTTTATCACTCTGAGTTGGCCCCTGAGGGTTGGTAGGACGGTTCCATCACTACTGAAGTATATCACTGCTGTCAACCACTAGATGCTTGGTTCAGATGTATTATTCTGTAGCCAGTGTTATGTAGAATATTGCTGATGGTTCAGATGTATTATTCTGTAGCCACTGTTATGTAGAATATTGCTGATGGTTCAGATGTATTATTCTGTAGCCACTGTTTTGTAGAATATTGCTGATGGTTCAGATGTAGTATTCTGTAGCCAGTGCTATGTAGTATTTTGCTATGGTTCAGATGTATTATTCTGTAGCCAGTGCTATGTAGAATATTGCTGATGGTTCAGATGTATTATTCCGTATCCAGTGTTATGTAGTATTTTGCTATGGTTCAGATGTATTATTCCGTAGCCAGTGATATGTAGAATATTGCTGATGGTTCAGATGAATTATTCAGGTGCCAGTGTTATGTAGAATATTGCTGATTGTTCAGATGTATTATTCCGTAGCCAGTATTATGTAGAATATTGCTGATGGTTTAGATGTATTATTCCGTAGCCACTTTTATGTAGAATATTGCTGATGGTTCAGATGTATTATTCTATAGCCAGTGCTATGTAGTATTTTGCTATGGTTCAGATGTATTATTCTGTAGCCAGTGCTATGTAGAATATTGCTGATGGTTCAGATGTATTATTCCATAGCCAGTGTTATGTAGTATTTTGCTATGGTTCAGATGTATTATTCTGTAGCCAGTATTATGTAGAATATTGCTGATTGTTCAGATGTATTATTCCGTAGCCAGTGTTATGTAGTATTTTGCTATGGTTCAGATGTATTATTCTGTAGCCAGTATTATGTAGAATATTGCTGATTGTTCAGATGTATTATTCCGTAGCCAGTGTTATGTAGTATTTTGCTATGGTTCAGATGTATTATTCTGTAGCCAGTGCTATGTAGAATATTGCTGATGGTTCAGATGTATTATTCCGTAGCCAGTGTTATGTAGTATTTTGCTATGGTTCAGATGTATTATTCTGTAGCCAGTATTATGTAGAATATTGCTGATTGTTCAGATGTATTATTCCGTAGCCAGTGTTATGTAGTATTTTGCTATGGTTCAGATGTATTATTCTGTAGCCAGTGCTATGTAGAATATTGCTGATGGTTCAGATGTATTATTCCGTAGCCAGTGATATGTAGAATATTGCTGATGGTTCAGATGTATTATTCCGTAGCCAGTGTTATTTAGTATTTTGCTATGGTTCAGATGTATTATTCCGTAGCCAGTGATATGTAGAATATTGCTGATGGTTCAGATGAATTATTCAGGTGCCAGTGTTATGTAGAATATTGCTGATTGTTCAGATGTATTATTCCGTAGCCAGTATTATGTAGAATATTGCTGATGGTTTAGATGTATTATTCCGTAGCCACTTTTATGTAGAATATTGCTGATGGTTCAGATGTATTATTCTATAGCCAGTGCTATGTAGTATTTTGCTATGGTTCAGATGTATTATTCTGTAGCCAGTGCTATGTAGAATATTGCTGATGGTTCAGATGTATTATTCCGTAGCCAGTGTTATGTAGTATTTTGCTATGGTTCAGATGTATTATTCTGTAGCCAGTATTATGTAGAATATTGCTGATTGTTCAGATGTATTATTCCGTAGCCAGTGTTATGTAGTATTTTGCTATGGTTCAGATGTATTATTCTGTAGCCAGTATTATGTAGAATATTGCTGATTGTTCAGATGTATTATTCCGTAGCCAGTGTTATGTAGTATTTTGCTATGGTTCAGATGTATTATTCTGTAGCCAGTGCTATGTAGAATATTGCTGATGGTTCAGATGTATTATTCCGTAGCCAGTGTTATGTAGTATTTTGCTATGGTTCAGATGTATTATTCTGTAGCCAGTATTATGTAGAATATTGCTGATTGTTCAGATGTATTATTCCGTAGCCAGTGTTATGTAGTATTTTGCTATGGTTCAGATGTATTATTCTGTAGCCAGTATTATGTAGAATATTGCTGATTGTTCAGATGTATTATTCCGTAGCCAGTGTTATGTAGTATTTTGCTATGGTTCAGATGTATTATTCTGTAGCCAGTGCTATGTAGAATATTGCTGATGGTTCAGATGTATTATTCCGTAGCCAGTGTTATGTAGTATTTTTGCTATGGTTCAGATGTATTATTCAGAAGCCACTGTTATGTAGAATATTGCTGATGGTTCAGATGTATTATTCTGTAGCCAGTGTTATGTAGAATATTGCCAACCATTCAGACATATTACTTGGAAGCCACTGTTACCTGGTATGTAAAATTCCTTCAGAAATAGGACTTTTATTCTTTTCTTTTTCTTTTCAATTTGTTAGAATTGCAAGTAATTGTCAATCCTGAAAGTGTGATTTAGATGTATGTTAATATGGTTGTTTCAATCAATGCAGGGGTTGTTTCCATCAATGCAAGGGTTATTTCCATCAATGCAGGGGTTGTTGTTTCCATCAATGCAGGGGTTGTTGTTTCCATCAATGCAGGGGTTGTTTCCGTCAATGCAGGGGTTGTTTCCATCAATACAAGGGTTATTTCCATCAATGCAGGGGTTGTTGTTTCCATCAATGCAGGGGTTGTTGTTTCCATCAATGCAGGGGTTGTTTCCGTCAATGCAGGGGTTGTTTCCATCAACACAGGGGTTGTTTCCATCAATGCAGGGGTTGTTGTTTCCATCAATGCAGGGGTTGTTTCCATCAATGCAGGGTTTTTTTCCATCAATGCAGGGGTTGTTTCCATCAATGCAGGGGTTGTTACCATCAATACAAGGGTTATTTCCATCAATGCAGGGGTTGTTTCCATCAACACAGGGGTTGTTTCCATCAATGCAGGGGTTGTTGTTTCCATCAATACAGGAGTTGTTTCCATCAATACAGGGGTTGTTTCCATCAATGCAGGGGTTGTTTCCATCAATGCAGGGGTTGTTTCCATCAATACAGGGGTTGTTTCCATCAATGCAGGGGTTGTTTCCATCAATGCAGGGGTTGTTGTTTCCATCAATGCAGGGGTTGTTTCAATCAATGCAGGGGTTGTTTCCATCAATGCAGGGGTTGTTTCCATCAATACAAGGGTTGTTTCCATCAATGCAGGGGTTGTTTCCATCAATGCAGGGGTTGTTTCCATCAATACAGGGGTTGTTGTTTCCATCAATACAAGGGTTGTTTCCATCAATACAGGGGTTGTTTCCATCAATGCAGGGGTTGTTTCCATCAACACAGGGGTTGTTTCCATCAATGCAGGGGTTGTTGTTTCCATCAATGCAGGGGTTGTTTCCATCAATGCAGGGGTTGTTACCATCAATACAAGGGTTATTTCCATCAATGCAGGGGTTGTTTCCATCAACACAGGGGTTGTTTCCATCAATGCAGGGTTGTTGTTTCCATCAATGCAGGGGTTGTTGTTTCCATCAATGCAGGGGTTGTTTCCATCAATACAAGGGTTATTTCCATCAATGCAGGGGTTGTTTCCATCAATGCAGGGGTTGTTGTTTCCATCAATGCAGGGGTTGTTTCAATCAATGCAGGGGTTGTTTCCATCAATGCAGGGGTTGTTTCCATCAATACAAGGGTTGTTTCCATCAATGCAGGGGTTGTTTCCATCAATGCAGGGGTTGTTTCCATCAATACAGGGGTTGTTTCCATCAATGCAGGGGTTGTTTCCATCAATGCAGGGGTTGTTTCCATCAATGCAGGGGTTGTTTCCATCAATACAAGGATTATTTCCATCAATGCAGGGTTTGTTTCCATCAAAGCAGTGGTTGTTTCCATCAATACAGGGGTTGTTGTTTCCATCAATACAAGGGTTGTTTCCATCAATACAGGGGTTGTTTCCATCAATGCAGGGGTTGTTTCCATCAACACAGGGGTTGTTTCCATCAATGCAGGGGTTGTTGTTTCCATCAATGCAGGGGTTGTTTCCATCAATGCAGGGGTTGTTTCCATCAATGCAGGGGTTGTTACCATCAATGCAGGGGTTGTTGTTTCCATCAATGCAGGGGTTGTTTCCATCAACACAGGGGTTGTTTCCATCAATGCAGGGGTTGTTTCCATCAATACAGGGGTTGTTTCCATCAATGCAGGGGTTGTTTCCATCAATACAAGGGTTGTTACCATCAATGCAGGGGTTGTTTCCATCAATGCAGGGGTTGTTGTTTCCATCAATACAAGGGTTGTTTCCATCAATGCAGGGGTTGTTTCCATCAACACAGGGGTTGTTTCCGTCAATGCAGGGGTTGTTTCCATCAATACAAGGGTTGTTACCATCAATGCAGGGGTTGTTTCCATCAATGCAGGGGTTGTTGTTTCCATCAATACAAGGGTTGTTTCCATCAATACAGGCGTTGTTTCCATCAATGCAGGGGTTGTTTCCGTCAATGCAGGGGTTGTTTCCATCAATACAAGGGTTGTTACCATCAATGCAGGGGTTGTTTCCATCAATACAAGGGTTGTTACCATCAATGCAGGGGTTGTTTCCATCAATGCAGGGGTTGTTGTTTCCATGAATACAAGGGTTGTTTCCATCAATACAGGCGTTGTTTCCATCAATGCAGGGGTTGTTTCCGTCAATACAGGCGTTGTTTCCATCAATACAGGGGTTGTTTCCATCAATACGGGGGTTGTTTCCATCAATACAGGGGTTGTTTCCATCAATGTAGGTACTTTGTGCTGTATCAGCTTCCCGGACTCAAGTTCCTGGACTCCACGTCTGTCAAGCCAAGTGAAATAACCGAAGCTGAGAGAGTTGGGCCTTTCATGAGGGTTGTCAAACTACAGAGCTCGGAGGAGGTCAGTACTATAACATTGATGTTGGAAGTGGAAACATGCATGAGTTCATTTTACACCATTTGTGATCCAAATAATCATTAACAAAATACCATTGGGGAAAAGAGGTTTTTATGAAGCGATCTCATAACATTATTCCCTGGTACACCAGATAAATTCGAAAGCACATGCCTACTGAAGCTGAAACTTTACTAATGATCTCAATTTGTTCAAGATGTTTGAATCTGATATTAAATATGGCCGCCACAAACCTAGCAACTCGTCATCCATTTCTGCTCCAAATTGTAATCTGCATCCTCTAAAATTGCCAGACTGAGGAAGCCCGAATCTTTGCATGAATGGTCCACCCTTTGATGACATCATATTTTGTTTGTTTGTTGCATATTAGTTAATACTTTGAACTCAATATTCATGCAGAATGTATTTGTATTGCAATGCTGACAGGAACTGTTTCTAAGTGACTGTGTTTGTTTTATACTGTTGACTTAATACATAGGTGGGCTACAGAGCCATGGCCCTATATTTCAATATATTGTTTTGTCTCTGTCAGGTGAGCTCCTCTTCACATGAGGATGACCGTTCCGACTACACCCCTCTACCACAGAAGGCCAGGGACCCAGAGCAGCATGCAGGTAGGTGGTGGTACAAGTATACAGACAGCTAGACCCTTCTACCTCAGAAGGCCAGGGACCCAGAGCAGCATGCAGGTAGGTAGTGGTACAAGTATACAGACAGCTAGACCCTTCTACCTCAGAAGGCCAGGGACCCAGAGCAGCATGCAGGTAGGTGGTGGTAGTGGTACAAGTATACAGACAGCTAGACCCTTCTACCTCAGAAGGCCAGGGACCCAGAGCAGCATGCAGGTAGGTAGTGGTACAAGTATACAGACAGCTAGACCCTTCTACCTCAGAAGGCCAGGGACCCAGAGCAGCATGCAGGTAGGTGGTGGTACAAGTATACAGACAGCTACACCTCTACCACAGAAGGCCCGGAACCCAGAGCAGCATGCAGGTAGGTGGTGGTAGTGGTACAAGTATACAGACAGCTACACCCCTCTACCACAGAAGGCCAGGGACCCAGAGCAGCATGCAGGTAGGTGGTGGTACAAGTATACAGACAGCTAGACCCCTCTACAACAGAAGGCCAGGGACCCAGAGCAGCAAGCAGGTAGGTGGTGGTACAAGTATACAGACAGCTACACCTCTACCACAGAAGGCCCGGGACCCAGAGCAGCATGCAGGTAGGTGGTGGTAGTGGTACAAGTATACAGACAGCTACACCCCTCTACCGCAGAAGGCCAGGGACCCAGAGCAGCATGCAGGTAGGTGGTGGTACAAGTATACACCTTCAACCTGAGCTTCTTTGGGGTCCAAGACTAAGGTGGCACATCGTGATATATAGTGGAAAACATCTTCCAAAGGCAAGGGCGTTAACTGACTATAAAAGTCTAGTTTCCACCTTTGCTAGAATGGAATTCCGGAGTTACATTTTGACTGGACTAACAAGTCTATGCATAGTCCAATCAAAATCGTAAAGAGCTAGACATCTGGATTTCAATGTGCAGATTTCAGTCAACTGCAGGATTTGCAAAGCATGTGTACTGTCAACTGGGCGTCGACAGATATTTTGCAAATCTTTTCATCTTTTTAATCAAGGTGCTCAAGCGATTTAATGCACTTTGTGGGATAAGACCTGTTTTATAACAATATAGATCTTCATTATTGAGCAGATGTTTTTGACTGGGCGCCACAGTTTTGTTTGAAGCAAATGCAAGTGATATGAGAGGTGGAATCTGATTGGTCAATAGGACACACATAAAAGGGACATAACTTGTAATAGCCACTGGTGGCGCTACGGTTGAAAATTCCAACCTAGTTCCGCAGTGATAGAAACTTTTATTGTCAGTATTGTCAGTAATACCCTTGCTTCGGAAAGATGACTGGAATTTTGGCGGGCACTGGTCGCCCAGTCAGCTGGGGCGCCATGATTTGCTGTGCAGAGTTGTGTCCCTTGGGCATGCCAGAAACCTATGATTGTGCTTCGGCCAGGTTATGTTTCTACATTTGTCAGCACAGCTCAGGGATTTCACCACAGTGACATGACTGGAATACTGTTTAAAGCAGCTTTAAACCCAACTCACTCACAATCTCATTAAAATCAGATCTTACCCCGGTAGTTCTCGCTACCGCTAAACAAAGATCTGAGGACATCCCATTAGGGGTCACGTCAGAAGGACCTTTCATCTGACCAATCAGAGCATCGCTTACCAGATCATGAAAGTGACAGCCTCGAAAACTTTAACTCCAAACGATAGTTACGGGTTTAACGACTGAATCCATACAATCTAGACCATGTATCAGCCATTCCAGAATATTCTTTTGTTCGGGTTTCAAATTTGTAATTGAGAATTTGTCAAAATATGTTTCGAACTGAGTCGCCAATTTGAAATTAGTGCCGTAAAGCACGAGAAAGCTGCCTTCTCATTGGTCATTCCATTGGTCGGTCAAAGTTCGCGCAAGGTCGGTCTGACGTGACCCGTAATGGGATGTCCTCAGTTCTTTGTTCAGCGGTAGCGAGAACTGAGGTCTGATTTTAATGAGATTGTCTCACTCACTAATGGACATCTGAAGACCTTACAAAAACTCCCATCTTGTTTTCCGTGTTGTATGCTTTACTGCATTTCTTTCTTCACACAGGAACATTCGGAAAGAGCAAGTACATATACTATGGGCGCCACTCAGAAGGAAACAGGTTCATAAGGAATAATGACCTCTGACCTTCAACCGGACATGCCAGGACCATGCAAACGAAATCAGTGTGAATCAGTACTGCTGCCACAAGTAGATTGATTACAGGGTTGTAAATGTAACGACTGACGACCTCAAGCATTGCTATGTTTTGTACTATAAGCATATTGAATCAAATTTAATGTTTAGATTTTGGATTGATACTAGGCAATCTGCTTATTTATTGCTGATGTTTTATCGTATATCGCTGTGTATAAAGCGAGTTTTTCGTAGTTTTACAGCAGCCATGGTCAGATTGCTGCTATTGATAACCTTGAAACGAACTTTAGTGGATAGAGAAATTATATATATATCATAAATGCTATACATTGACTCTTTGAAAGTCTTATTTATTATAGTTTGACTTTTATATGTCAACAGAAAACTTTCACTATCACGAGCGCAGGAGCATCAACGGTAATGGGTCAAATTGTTTCATACTAAAAAATAGCAGTAGAGATCAGCTGTTATTAATTTATTTCAAATATATATAGTAAAGCTGCAACTAAAATAACATGATATTGGAATAAATTATTCCTGATAAAATAATAGTTTCACATACAATTCTTCCGATTATAGTATCAAAATTCTTTAAAGTTATATTATTGAGTAATTTCTAACCGAATCACCGGACGATTCCAAGAAATCATGTGTGCAGCTGATGGCTGCTTCCGGCTTAGTTTCCGAGTCAATACACTCAGCAATCTTAATCACGGCTTATAAAACAATTCCTATCAGAACAGGAAATACAATTTAATCGGTAAATCATGATGTCTAGTGATGTTTTCTCAAATTTAAAATTTATATTGATCAAGTTTAATTGTTATGATCTGTTCGTTGCCCTGAATTCGCTGAAGTGATACGATGTAAATCTTTTCTGCGGAAGACAGACATGTTTTTTTTGCAAATATAGGGATTATGTATATGTTGGTGATGTGCTTCATTCTGATTCACTTTATAGACTGTGTATACATATTAGCATCGAGTATACAATTTAGCATAGATTTTGAAGGCTTGTTCAGGGGGTGGCTATATAGACGGCGATATACGGTATATTATATCTCATTCTTTTGTATATTCTATGCTTATTACCTGTATTACTGGTTGGATAAGTATTTCATTCTTTAAATTCATAAGTGGACTCGCTATCAGTATAAGTATTAGGGCTGGGATGGGTTACTCGGGTACGCGGTTGGGTACTGAGTAGGACCAAGGTACCCATAGGACTACCCGGACCCGTGGTTAGTCGCGTGATATATTGTTTAATGACAAAAATTATCTAGAACTCTATGGTAACTCTACAAGTTACTAATCTTCGTATTTCTTTCTGACTATGCACCCATTCCTTGGGACCTTTCATATGGTTGATTAAAGATATAACTGAACTTCAGTGTATGCATGACGAGATCATTTGATACATATATCTAAATACTTTTTGCAAGTGCTGTGGTAACAAAATTCCCAATAGGACATTTTGTATCTCTTGACACCTACAGCGTGTACCCGGGTAGGGACGGGTAATAGGGGGGTGGGTACCCGGGTAGTAAATTTCGTCCTAGGCCTAATAAGTATCACTGAGACCAAATGTGTTGTTATTGTAATGGTCCATGGTTTGCCACAAGAAACGGTAGACATTGCTTCTCCGAAACATATTCTGGTGCTTTGCAGAAGGTTCACTCTCTTCCATTCCATATGGTGCTTGGTCTGTAAACTTAGCATGTAAATCTTTTCATCTGCAGACACTATGATGACTCTACAACTGTATGTTAGTGTGCACAGATTTTAATCAGTTATTTTATGTTTTCAACATTTGTCATGTGTCAGGATTTTATGGTGTATCATTACATTACAAATTTACACATGACAATACCATACATAATACTCATACCTATGTATTGATGCATGTCATATCTGGTTTGATTTTCAGAAAATATTTAATATTTACAAAATTATGCCATAACCCAGCATGATGTACTCAGAGTCCCCTTACTGCTTGGCACAAAACAAACTGCTAAGTCTAAATGCATGGTACCATTTGAATGGGCTTAGATTAACCAATCATGCACGACCAACAAACTGCTTGATGTCACATCTACATCATGTACATGGACAACATGGTGAATACACACAAAAACAGTGCAAAGTATGTATTGTGGTACATATCGTATTGTTACTCACATGTCATGTATTGATAGGAGTACCATGATCCACTGTCATTAAGGAGATAAACGTTCTGTGCTGAGGTAAATTTGAGATATGTTATACCGGATTGATAGCCTCTAAAATTTGTGTGAAACTGGACACGTAGTGTCAATTCCGTATTAGACCCCACACTGTTTGTCGCCATGTACATGGCATGAGTGTCCCTAGCAGTGTTCCATACATTGCATGAGTGTCCCTGGCGGTGCTCCATACATTGCATGAGTGTCCCTTGCAGTGCTCCATTTATGACATGAATGTCCCTGGCGGTGCTCCATACATGACATGAGTGTCCCTGGTGGTGCTCCATACATGACATGAGTGTCCCTGGCGGTGCTCCATACATGACATGAGTGTCCCTGGTGGTGCTCCATACATGACATGAGTGTCCCTGGCGGTGCTCCATACATGACATGAGTGTACCTGGCAGTGCTCCATACTTGACATGAGTGTCCCTGGCGGTGCTCCATACATGACATGAGTGTCCCTGGCGGTGCTCCATACATGACATGAGTGTCCCTGGTGGTGTTCCATACATGACATGAGTGTCCCTGGCGGTGCTCCATACATGACATGAGTGTACCTGGCAGTGCTCCATACTTGACATGAGTGTCCCTGGCAGTGCTCCATACATGACATGAGTGTCCCTGGCGGTGCTCCATACATGACATGAGTGTCCCTGGCGGTGTTCCATACATGACATGAGTGTCCCTGGCAGTGCTCCATACATGACATGAGTGTACCTGGCAGTGCTCCATACAGTGAACAGCTTGATCAGATCAAGTCTCCTTTCTAATGATACTCAGACTCAAGTGTTCTGTGTTCAGTATGGCGTACACAATACAAATAAGGGTTCACTTGTCATAGAAATCCATTTTTCTATCTCAGGTAGATGTTTTTGATGTTATTCTGTGGAGAAAGAGCTCGAATGCATGAGTGGGAAGCAAAACCCATTTGTATTAGGGTGGGGCCAGACTATATTTTGATTTACATTTTTTTGGTTTAAGGGGTTGATCCTTAGGTGGGAAAATGAAAAGACGTGAGATTTTTCTTTTGCATGCAAGTTGTTTTACCAAGCTTCACTGTCACAGCTTCATATTATGTATGCATGATGTTTTGGTGGTGAATACATAAATTTGCATTCAGAAGAATAAAAAAACAACTTTTTAGATTAATATTTTGTTTTACATTATGTTTATTTATTGTTTATGTATTTTATTTACTTTATTGTTTTAACTGATGTTTTTTTAAGTCTCTCCTGTCCTGCCCTGCCCACACTCGAATGCAGGTTGCAAAACTTGGTATCTCCTGCTAGTAAGTTTGTTTGAAGTGTACCTCTAGTCATTCAGCAGTGAATGGGTACCCAGTAGGCAGGATGAGCGAGTTGAGTTGAGCTCATTTCTTTTATGCCATATGCTGTATAAACTATGAGTAGTATGTGTACATATATATGCAAATATTCAAGTAAGATATTAACATTGTTCCATTTTATAGCTGGATTTATTCAACATGGAAATAAATAATTTTCTCCTTGAAATTTCTAGATCTTAGTATCTATACTGAAATCAGATGATTACCATGTGTTGTCTGTATTAAGTTTCTCAAACAGTCTTTAAACACGGTTCATCTTTATAATTGTGTCAGTTTCTTAACTAAGAATGTTACCTGCCTATATAGTATTACTATGAGTATGTACAATCTGTCATGTTATTAGCTTATCTGCATTATAGTTGATTCAGTGGATATGGTGTCTGTTCCTTATCCACCAGCTGGTCTGTAATGGTTGTTTGATAAAAATTAAGAATGAACAAAAGTCAATGCAGGTTTAATAAACAACAATCATGCAGTTTGGCAAAGATTCTAATGATGGCTACAACACACCAGATATCAGTGCACGTCTTAAATGATTTTGTCTATACATATCACAATGCTTATTTCTTGTTCGATAGTGAAGCTTTGAGTGTTTGTTTACGATGAGTGTACTGGGACAGAGACCATGAAGACCAAACTCCTGTATAACATGCTACATCATGTATATTTAAATACCACAACAATATTTGTTTATTTACCACTCAAGTTTTGATAATAGATTTCTGAGTGTAAAGAGTGAAGACCGTTCTCAGGGTTAGAGAGTTTATTTGTATAGAAGGATGAGAAGGCTGACGAAGACAAGACCCCTAACTAGTGGTCACACCACAACAGATGTGGTGTACAATGTTTACGTTGTGATTAGCAGATGGACATGGAAAATGTGATGGTGTTTGGAAGGAAGTGAAATGCATAATTAAGAATTGACTTTCACTTAATGCGAGTTCATTGGAGTATGAGCCTTCATAGAGTGAGGGCCAAACTGTATGAATGTCGGAGCTAGCGACCAGGGAAGTAGTCCGTCAATGTTGATGTCATTTCAAGAACACATTCTCATGAAAAACGTATGAACGTCAAATGATGCATTTTCTAATGCTAAAGTTCCCATTTCTACAACTACTTTGAGTAAAATAACTGTATGAAAGTACTCTGATGAAAAGTTCAGTGGTATATGAACACTTTACTGTACTCAAGGTCTCTGTTGACAGGGATGTGTGGGAACATTTATCTGTTTGAAAAAATTAAATTACTAAACAAGATGTGTATCTTGCAGCAGATTGGTTGCATTATGACAATGTAATTAGTATTTAATGTTGATTTGCATGAACAATCATATTCATAACAACCCTGGACTCTGGTCAACAAAGCAATCTTAGTGCCCAGAAGACGATGTAAAAGAATGAGAGTTAAGATGGCCTAAGCACTAACATTGCTTTCTGGAACAGGGTCCAGGTGTGCAGTCCCCTGACACACGGCAATGATTTTAGCAGAGTTTTGTCCCTTAGCTTTGTTGGTTTGAATCCAGTTTCAAGAAATTGTGCCTTAACAACTGCTATTGACAATGTTAGGAAAATGTCCATTTAGATAGCATGAGACAAAAATGAATTTTTCAAATTAGATAGAATTTGGATTACTCTTCAGTTATTAATGAAATGAAGTTTTGGGATTTTTAGTCAACCCATTACTTTCCTTCTTGTTTTGTTTTACCAGATGCTTTGAATGGATTTAGAGAATGCTGGACATGACTCAAAATAAGACACAGGAATCATTCAAAATCATGTAAATATTTTGACACACGAACTTAAATAAATGGTTTGATTTTGATTTTGTTTGTGTGTTGCTAATATTAGCTCAACTGGTTATAGGCCAATAGAGCATTCATAATTCAGCCCATGGTGAGTGAGTTGGGTTTAACACCGCTTTTAACAGTATTCCAGTTATATCAGCTTAATGTGTGAAGAAAACCTGAAATGATGCAGGTCTCAGACCTTTACCACTTCGGTGAAACCCACGAGCACGGGTATGGTGCTGACAAACCTAGAAACATAATCAGGGAAGAACTGAGATTCGAACCCACAATCATAGGTTTCTGGTGTGCCCAAGGGACGCAACTCTGCACAGCAAATAGCGGCCCCTCAGACGACTTGGCCACCCCTGCCCCCTTAGCCCATGGGAATTCCATGGGGGTCGTACGAGGTGACGGTGGTTTGTTGTTCATAAATTAAATGACTGTATCAGTAACCATTATTTAGCTGGAATATTGCTGAATGCAACAAACATGTTTGTGACACTGATTTTGAATCCCATCTCTGTGGTAACACCATCAAATACTCAAATCTGAAAACACATCTCCTATTACTGTTGTTCAATTCATACTTTACAAGGCAATTTGGTACAGATAGTTTTGCTTCTCAGAGAGCATATGATATGAACAGTTTTGCCTCAATAGGAAAACATTCTGGTTCCAGACCTTGGTGGAAAAGGAATCTGTGAAGTTGTATCAGTTGGAATGTTGGGAACCATGGAGAAAAATTGAAACAATCAGTACTCTTAACCATAAAGAACTCTGTGTAACTGGACTGAAAAGACAGTTTATTGTGGCAATGATGTGAACACAAGATAAATGCATATAATTATGGAGTATGACATCTTCAAAAGCTCTTGTCATCAGTCAAAAAGCACCTTACATGGAGCACTTTTGGACCACGTTCTCAACAAAATGCCACTGACCAGTGTAAAGACAACACAAATAGGTAAAAATCTAAAATCTAAGTTTTACATGGACATGATTTTTTTTCAATGTACACAAAATTATCCAATTTGCCACAGAACAAAATACAGTATAAAAGACTGGCCTAGGCTACAGCTCAATATTTGGTGTACAGCTTTTTCAATACAAAAGCCTCTTATTGAACGCATGATTATCATATGACTATTATGATGCAAATATAGGCCAACTACACAAAATGAATATTCACGTTAACGCAATAACCATGTTGATACAGATGGCAACATGAGAGTCTTTGTGTAATACGGCTTACTCTCGACAAAGTCTGGTGACAAAGCAAGGTACACTGTGAGAAAGCCTGTTCCAGAAGCCTACCATTACATACAATATAATCACAATAACCCCATGTGCTTATACATGAGAGCACTCTTATTGCCTGTAATAAGGTAATGGGGAAGGTTCAACATGGCCTGTGGGAGTATGGATATGAATCAAGTTGGGTCTCCTCACCACAATGAACAATGCAAAAATGTGTTGATGATAGTCTGTGAATGAGATGTGGGATTACAAAGCACAACATATGATGAATATCTTCTGCTGAATAACTAAGTTGAATGATGACAACTTATATAATCAAATAATGATCCTATTAAAATAATGATGATTCAGATTCCTTCATTAAAACTTCCATAATAATGATAATGTATCACCAACATCATATTTGGGTTTGGACTTGCCCTCATCCAATCGCAGTTACTTACGGTAACTGTTGCTTCTTGGACAAGATACTTCTGATGCGACACTAAACATTAACTCACTGAACTTTCGTTAATTTCCATTTATCCAAAAACCATGATGATGTCTCTTGATCTTGTACATATGATTCACCGGTTTCAGGCAAACATGGTCAATATATATTTATATATAAAATGTCTTCAATACTCACAGACAGCAAAGACAGAGTAAGTAGTACTATACTGAAACTGCAACAACTTAGTGGGAACATACTGCATCCTGGTAATACTGCTCAAACTGGAACCATTTTGACATTTGTTGAATTTAAGTGCAATATTTATTCTCTGCAGAAAACCAGCTCTCCAGGTCAAAGATATCAAAACTGATATAACATTATCAAACATAGCGTCGTCAATCTCAACAGTGGTAGAAACTAACAGTTTTAGTCTATTAGTCCTTATAATGATAACATAGCAAAACCCATAAAAATGGCAAATTCCTACCGGTCCTTAGGATACTTTAACTATTGGGCAATTTGGCAAGGACTACAGGACTAGTGCCAATTTCTAACGCTGTCTCAATATTCAAAGTAATATTAACCACAGCTCATAACAAATATATTCAGCAGTGTAGTTTTAAATTTCAGAATGCTGATAGTCTTTATGTCACAATTAAAACTGTGTGTCAACACACAGAGGGGGGGGGTAAAGTCCAGTAAAACTTCTAAAACATACATGCTTCACAAACAACAGTCCAGGCATTCACCTATACATTCATGGAGCAAGGAGTATTTGTAGTTCTACAACATTCCATGAAAACTTTGGATTTATAAATGTAAAATTACCAACAATGCATATTGTTTTTGTAGAGGTCAGTTTTCACCATGTACTTTTTTTCAGTTGCACAATACATTGTGAACAGTAACTGAAATATCTCTCCTGCATATGATTATGCAGTGTAGACTATTCATGTTTCATAAAAACTCCTAATAACTTATTTTGATTAATATCTTTATACCTCAATGCAATAATATACGAAGTTAAAATGATTAAAATGATCTTAAAACAAAAGCATGAAACTCAACAATGCACTGATCTGACACTGTACATGTAAAATCTTCAATAGCAGGAAGTCATATACATTTTCTTTACATTTTGATGATAAATTGCTAGTGTTAAATTCACTAGCTGTAATTTGATTATGGGCAAATATCTAAAACAAATTTTAAATGATGAAAGAAATGCATGCATTATTGTATATAACAGAATAACAGTACATTAACCAAATTAAAACCATTAACAGTAAACAAAATAAAGTCCACAACCACGTTGCTATTTGCTTGAAATGAATAACATATCAAACTAAATTCTGGTTTGGGTCCCCATTGCTTGTAAGTATTGATAGCAATCTAGCCAAAGCAAACAGTTCCCTTAAAAAAATCTTAACAATGAAGTAGAAGCTCGAAGTTAAACTTCAGTCTTACATGCCAGTGTATTCTACAACTGTCTCACACTTCACAGTAAAATATATCGTCACCAGCACCGTTTAACATTGTTATTACTTGCTGACTAATACTGTCTGACAATTATTCAATACATACAAGCAAAATAATATGGTTCAAACATAATAAAAAGAAGTAGTAATCAAATGTTGTTCTTTCGTATCAACAGCTAAACCAGTTTAAAAAATTTCTAATGCATGAACGGTAATAATTACAGTATGATTATGTTGAAATCTACTTCACTTGCCGCGGCGATGGAGATTAAATTGCTGCCCTTTTTATCTAGATTCTTTCTGTCTAGAGTCATATTCAAATCAAGGATTGGTGCCTTGATTCAGACATGGATTATTAAACTGATGTTGTACAAGCAGCAAACCATGGTGCTTTCTTCATCAACATGGGAATGATGGAAAATGAAAGCTTACAGGGATCAGCTTGATGTGTGAGAAACCCATGAAAACAGATACAGTCCCATCCAAAGGGAATATGGTATGTACAATGGGCTAAGAGGAATCGAGGTTATTGTAATAATCTCTACACAATCGCATTACACAATGATGAATAATCTGCACTTTCAGAAAGGCAAAAATATGTAAACACAACTTCTAAAGATATTACACGCCTGAACAGAACAATGTTTAAAAATCAAACCCAACACATGAGCTTACTGAAATTATTATTACGAACATATTACTTTTTAAACTTAAAGGGTTTGTCTTTTTGGGGGGAAAAATGCCCTAATGAATTGTTGGTAACAAATTCCTGTTTATTAAAATATGAGAATACTAAGTACCAACACATTCAAAACACGTCCCAATAAATCTTTCAGGTCGCAGGAAAATATTTTCAAAATACAAGACAAATAGGTTATACCATGCTTCAGCCCTGAAGATATTTTCACTTGTCAGTTTTAGGTTTTGTATTATGTAGGACGACTGATAAATGATCTTGTAACAATGTTCAACGCCTTTTCTTTCCTCTTTTCTTTGGCGAAGATCTCGGCTCTTCCTCCTCTTCATCATCATCATCTTCCCCGCCTCTTGATTTTGATTTTCTTGGTGTATATTCTGGTTTATCAGCATCTTCTTCTTCATCCTCATTTTCATTATAATTAATCTTACTGGCCCTTCTCCCTGCACTTGTGGACTCTCTTCCTCTACCCTTAGTGCGAGGAGAACTTTCTTCATCTTCACTGATATCTTCATCGTCTTCTGCAGCATAGCTAGGTCGGGCTTTTGACTTGCGTGGACTGGCTTCTGTTTGGGCCTTACGTGGACTCTTTGATTTCTTTTTGCCCTCAGATTCATCATCTTCTTCCTCTATGTCAGCAACCTGAGCCCGGCTAAGCGGTTTCTTTGTCTTCTTCTTTGGTTTGGACTTGCCTTTTCCTTTCTTTGCTTTACCACCTTTCTTTGCCTTCTTCTTTGCAGGAGGTTCATCTTCATCTTCTTCAACTTCTTCCTCGTCTTGGTCATCAGCTTCTTCTTCTTCTTCTTCTTTCTCTTCAGCATCACTAACTCTCCCTCGGCTCCTTGATGATGACTTTGCGGGTGACCTCGATTTGGAAGCTGCTGCCTCTGTAAATAGACAAATTATTAGCTTGAGTAAAATGTGTGGAAAAATGTGATGCCCAATCATGTCCATGGCATGTATTTAGATATCTGAAATGTATCTATATAAACTGAAATATATGAACTGAAATACACCAATGTGTGCTAACTCTACTGCATAGTATCAGGTTGATAACGAAGACTGACCTTTTCACATTCATAATATAATACTGAACACAAGTCCTTCTGTTGAAATGATGAATTCCAAACTATGCATGCCACACTAAGGAGATATGGCTTTAAGTTCTGCCAACCCTAATCATGCTAATAAATGAAAAGTTTTGTTTGTTTGTTGTTTAACGCTGCATTCAGCAATATTCCAGCTATATGACGGTGGCCTGTAAATAATCTAGTCTGGGCCAGACAATCCAGTGATTAATATCATGAGCATCGATCCACGCAATTGGGATACAATGACATGCATCAACCAAGTCAGCCAGCCTGACCACCTGATGCCATTAGTTGCCTCTTATGACAAGCATGGGTTGCTGAATACCTCTTCTAAGCCATGTCTTCACGTGTTAATTAATGAAATGAGGAAAAATATATAACTACTTTGTTTATAACCAGAGATCTACTGTAAATACAAAATGTTGAAACTGTAAGAAAAATGAGAATGTTTGAATAACAAGACAATTAGCAATTTGCATTTTTTTTCTTTTTCTTTGACAGACGAGTACTTTTCACAAGGAGAAAAAGGACAACACACATAATCATGATAACTGCTATAAGAGCCATTCACATAGAATGACTCTTACATCTGAAAGATAGCCAAAGTTCAGTTTAAAAAATGAAGTTTTTAATGATAAAAATGTCACTTATACTTATTCTGACTCATACTCATCTGCTTATCTCTTCTCATTCCCGAAACAATGTGGAAACATCTTGTGCAGAGTTCCCAGTGAACAGAAAACTCTCAACCAAATGCACCCCTCTTACACACAAGTGCACAGGAACCACATGACTAACCAGCCTGACTGGTCACTCTCTTATTTTGGCCCCTGCTAAATTGTGTGCTCTTATAATCCGAAACTTCTTGATTCAAATGGACTTTCCAATGAAGGTTTTGGTTTGGATTACCTTTCTTGTTTTCATAATGAAGTCGTCTGCGTATCTCCAGTTGTGATCCCCACCCCATTCTCTCTATTTGCACAACACACCAGAATACTACAGATGATAAATGCAACTTCTACTTCCAATGAGCTGAGGAAGAATTCGCTGAATATATGTACGTCAAAGATGATCAACAGGAAGGGGGAGAGATCCTTCACGATCTACTTCATCTTCTGAGACCATCTCGAAGAAGAAGAAAATTACATCAGAGCGTCAAACTACACCATCCCCTCCTTCAGAAGCAGAAAGGGGATCTATCTTCAACCGCAGACCCCCCCTGTCCTCTAAGCACAGAAATCTTCCGTCTGACGCAGGAGTGTCGACTCTCTACTAAAGGGTGTCTTGGCTGCTGAGTTGAAAAAGAAGTCTCCGACTTCGTCTTCCTAACCTGCCAAGAATCTCTAAACGTTGGTGAAGAAAAAGAAGTTTCCTCAGTCCTCGTGAAGGTTTACACCTCCACAAAGACAAATTTATCGTCCTCCATGAAGGGGTCCATGTTGCCTTCCTCCATGAACACTTCCAGAAATGGAGACACCTGTGCGCAGCCCTCCACATACAGGAAGCTTCAAGACGTTTGTCAAATCCCGACTTTAACACAGGCTCAGCTTTTCACACAACCACATTTACCACAAGTCTGATCTCCAACCATCCGAAGATCTCTAGTTCTTGGGCATCAGGTTCCTAACGGGACAGAACCTTATTCAAGTTCCCGAAGACAGTTCGATAAGACTCCATAGTCACCTTCCAGCAGCATTCACAAATGAATATTGGTCAACAAATGGCAAGTGACCCTACATCGACCCAGCACAAGCCTTGACAGTATGGGGCAGACTTCACCTGTGTCCCATACAAAGATTCCTCACACCGTTCCTGGATCAACAATAACTAAAACTTTGACTTCAACCACACCTGAAGAAACATCTTCAATAGTGGACAATTTAGTCAAATGTTTGTGGAGGAACCTACTTGAACGAGCCAAATACAATCATCATCTGAGTCAGGCTGGTAAGTCACGAGGTTCCTGTGCACTTGTATGTGAGAGGGGTGCGTTTGGGTGAGAGTTTTCTGTTCACTGGGAACTCTGCACAAGACATTTCCACATTTTTTCGGGAATAAGATGAAATAAGCAAATGAGTATGAATCGGGCTAAGGCAAAATGAATATTGTAATAAGACAAATCATTACTAAGTGTGATTAACTCACTCTTTTGACTGGCAGAGCGGTTGACAGGTGCTGCTCTCTTCTTTGGTTTAGGTCTGCCTTCAAGACTCCTGTCAGCAGGGGCTTTGCGTACAGATTGACCACCCCGAGACTTTGTACCCCGTGGAATGTATAGCTCCTCCTTCTCAGTAAAGACGGTCTCCACATAGTCATCTTCTTCACCGGCCAGGAGGCTTGGGGTTGGTGTGAATGGAGACCACATCTGGAAGCTGCCACTTGCACCAATACCACTCAGCTGGCTAAAACACAGAAATTACATAATCAGAGTATTGTGTCTATTTGATATACTGATCCTGCATTACATATTGCACACTGCTCTTACTAACGAAGTCCAAACTGGACATGAATGACAATCTCGTAGCATCTTCAGTACTCTTTTGTTCAACACATCCTTGACTTCCTTGACATCAGGGCTGTCACTGGAGGGCCCTTGGGTAATGGAGGATAAGTATATAAAATAGACATAATACTCTGATTATGATATATTTTTAACTTTTCCTGCATTACATATCACACTTTATCTGATGGTAGGTGGTTGTGCGTACCTTCAGTCAAATGCTAAGATAGGTGTCATTGCATTTTGTAGAGTGGTCCTGTAGGATGGGCTTGCCCGAGGTAGTTCACTCTCAGGTGGAGCAAGTAGTCAGCTACCAAATGCACCATTGCATCTGTGGCCATCACATCTTTTTGCCTACAAAAGGTCTCAAAGGAAGCCCATTTGTCGTCTTATAGTACTCTGGTAGATGGCCTATGGGCCTTGGCTACTGCCAGGGCGAAAGAAGCCACAAACAGGATCGGTTGGTCAGACTGGCTGACTTAGTTGATGCATGTCATCGTATCCCAATTGCGTGGATCGACGATCCTGATGTCAATCACTGGATTGTCTGGTCCAGACTTGATTATTTACAGACAGCCATCATATAGCTGGAATATTGCTGAGTGCAGCGTTAAACAGCAAACAAACAAAACAAACTGCCAGGGCGGCTCTCCTCAAGTAACCCTTGGCTGTTAGCCCCTTCTGCAGACGACCAAGACATGAAGGTGGAACTGCTTTGGGGTTGGCTGGAGGCAGTGGCTGTGAGAGTCCGACTGGAGACTGGACCACTATAGAAGCCTGTACTCTCAGGCTAGAACCTGGTTCCCGGACTTCTTACACACTGACGGCTAACTAGCAAGGAGCTAGTTGGCTGGCAATGTGTAAGAGGTTTGGGAACCAGGTTCTTGTCTGACAGTATAGTGCCAAAAGAATCAAACAGGTGGTTGGTTGAGTTGGATCTTTTGGATCACCTTGGGCAGGTCTGATGGTGGGGGAAACACGTGGCACTGAGACCCTCCCAGTCTAAGGTCTATGCTAGAGCACCGATGTCCCAGGCCAGAGGGTCTGGCATGGGTGACCTGAACGTCGGCAGCTGCTTGTTGGCAAAGTAAGTTGGAAGCACTCTGGATGCAGTTTCCACTTTGTGGGGGAGGGATGGTCCAGTTGTGAATTTTATCATAAAATGTATACTTATATACTATTTATATCCTATCTCTCACACGATATGGCCCCACAACCATCCCCACATCTCAGTTCTTCTACCCTGATAGCTCTACAAAAGAGAATGAGTTGGCAGAGATATGCATGTGATCAGGACTGTAAGGTATAACACATACCAGTTTATTGGTCAGTAACCGAAGGGATGCTTGGGTGTGTTCAGGTAAAGTGCTTTCTGTTACAACACATAAGATCAAAGAGTGAGTGAGTGAGTATAGTTTTACGCTGCTTTGAGGAATATTCCAGCAATATCACGGCGGGGAACACCAGAAATGGGCTTCATACATTGTACCCATGTCGGGAATCGAACCCGGGTCTTCGGCGTGACGAGCGAACGATTTAACCACTAAGCTACCCGACCGCCCCCAAGAAAGCATGGTGTGAGATAGGATATGTTTAAAAGACTGTCAGCTTAAATTTGAGCCAAGTGTCACAGATTGCTGCTGTACAAAGCGATCTTAACGCTAAAAGTCCCATACCGTAACATAGACTTACGACAGTTGTAGTGCTAACAACACCCAGGTCAATGATGATTAACAATGAAGTCAAACCAACAAGCATGGGTATGGTGCTGATCCAATCTCCCTGGTGCTGGATCTCAACACAAGCAGCTGCACCTACCATTCCTAAGGGACATAACTCTGCTTAGTGAAGGATGTGCAACAGACTAAAGAGCACCCATCCTCATAGTGACCCCAGCTGGAGTGTCAAGGACATCTGTATGCCATACATATCTCAAGCGCCATATAGGCAAAAAGTCTTTCCATTAATTCTCTACAACTCACATGATCATCTGTTTTTTAAGAGCTCTTTCAAGAGCCATCTTGAAGAGATGTGGTCTAGTCTGAATATTGAAGTCTGGGTGAAACTCCATCACATATTTCTTCAGCAGGTTCGATGAGGCCTGCTTGGGCTCGTTACAAGCAATGATTGCGGAACATATCATGTCTTCAACGTTGTCAGCTAAAATGAAAGGAATCATCAATTTGTAAAACTGCTTGCTTTGTTTTGAATGGAGTCTAAGTCACTGGCAACAATGTTTACAGCTCATGGAATACATTTTGTTTGTTTGTTGTTTAACACCGCACTCAGCGATATTCCAGCTATATGGCGGCGGTCAGTAAATAATCGAGCCTGGACCAGACAATCCAGTGATTGACATCATGGGCATCGACCCACTCAATTGGGATACGATGACATGCATCAACCAAGTCGGTAGGCCTGACCACCCAATCCTTTTAGTCGCCTTTTACAACAAACATAGTCGCCTTTTATGGCAAGCATGGGTTGCTGGAGACCTATTCTACCCCGGATCTTCACGGGTGAGTAAAGAAGCGGAAACTGATAACAATTTGTCACTGTTTTTTTCTGAGGACATTATGCCATTGAAAACAATTCCGAAAATTCTCTTTAGCACTTAGCCTAAATACATGTAGCACGCCAAAAATGGACTGGCTGCTATCTCTTGAGATACACTGGCATACATAACATTGTTTGATATCTGTTCATCTTATTCCATAAAAAGTTAAAAAATCCACAATTGTAGGTAGAACTAGTAGAAGTTCCAATTACGTCACCTGTTGCTCTAATGCTTAACAAAAAAATATCAAATGTTTAGTTAATTATTACAGAGGACACAGACACAAATAATGCAGTTGATATGGTTCACTGCCTCGTATCAGCATTAGTGAGTGAGTATAGTTTTACGCCGCTTCTAGCAATATTCCAGCAATATCACGGCGGGGGACACCAGAAATGGGCTTCACACATTGTACCCATGTCGGGAATCGAACCCGGGTCTTCGGCGTGACGAGCGAACGCTTTAACCACTAGCATACCCGACCGCCCCCGCATCAGCATTAAAGGCTCCTTGTCTCCGATAATAATGTACACCAGAGCTACTTACTGCTGTTAGGATCAAACTCATCGATCATGAGTTGAAATGTCCCTGACAGTCCTTGTCCAGTAATGTGTTCCCAGAAGCCCTTCCTCTCACCACTCTCCATAGCAGACTTCAGTCTACAACATGTTACAGTCAAATGATTGCTGGAACAAAGCTTCCAGAAACAACACTTACATCTATCTATCTATAAAATTCTGTATTCATGTTAATTTGACTCAAAAACATTAACAACTTGTTTATAAATACACAACTCTGTCACAATGGTCACTGTCATTTAAGAAGAGCTAATAAGAACAAATTTCATTGCAGTGATTTTCCAGAACTTCATAAACATTAACACAGACAGTAAATTCTTGTTTTTGTAATAATTAATGTTGCTGCCAGCAACAATCCATCTGTCATGGCAACCTGTGAATGATTGTGTCTGAACCAGATAAACCAATTGTTGCTACACAACCAACAATCTCGGCCAGCTCAGGGATTTAATTGGGATTCCAGATAAAGTCTCCCCTTGGCAGGCAAATTCAGAAAAGAATTATGACACTGTTTTTAACTCTTCTTATTTCGTAAAATTCTGAGATACTGAGAAAAGTTTAATTCAAACTGGGAATTGTTACTATCTATTGCTGCAGACTTGGGGCTGAATATTGGCCTCTGTATTGTAGATGCTAGTCAGCTGTCAAGTACTGGAGACAACTACTGGGTCTGACAACTGTACCAATGTATGGAGATTACCAAAAAAGACAAAGTGTTCTGCTGCAATGACAGCGAAGCCTTCAGATAACAAGCCCCAATACATCGAAAGAATCGTGTCTTGTCTGTTCCTGCCACTTGCACACTGTAAAATAAGCAATCAACTCACTCTGACTCTGTATCCACGTGGGGATAGTTTTCGGTGACATACTTCTTAATCTTCCCAAACGATGTCTGTTTGGGTTCACACATGTATGTCATAGCCAAGGCAAAGGTGTCTTCAATCTTGAGGGGGGCAGCATGGTAGCTGTCTGGCCTTGGCCTCCCTGGAAGATGAGATCACTGTTAGTATTTTAACATAGCGGAGACAATAAGACTATGTAGCTCACTGATTCTTATGGAAGTGGAAACGAAACATTAGATCATAGAGCTTTGATCTTACACTCTGTATAAATTTCACTTTCACATACCAAGAGGTTTTGCTGAAAAAAGTTCATGAAAAATATAAAACCCCATGCCAAATTTACATGTATTTTCAGGATCATATGCCACACACAAAGGTCCAGAGTATTTATCATTATAGAAAGTGTGAGCGAGTTGGTTCTACTGTCACTTTGAACAGTATTCCAGCTTTATCACAATAGGTCAGCATACTAAGGGTGGAAAGCCCGAAGTGATGAAGGTCTGTCATTTACCACTTTTGTGAAACCCACAAGCCCAGGTAGAATGCTGACAAACCTAGAAACTTAATCTGTGCCCAACTGATGCAACTCTGTGCATTATACTGACTCCAAGTAGACCAGTCCTTGTATTATTCCCTTAATGCCTAGTGACAAGCACAGTAACAACAAGTACCATCTTTTACTGTCTTTTGGCATGATGTGACCAGGGAATCAGCCTCTGCACTCCGGTCAGACACTCTCCACTACAGACGGTTAGATATTTCTAACTTCCTTCATTCCATGCTTATGCCATCATCTAACTCATCAGTCACAGATTCTCACTTACTCTTCTTGCTCTTCTTTTTCTTCTTTTTCTTGGCTTCTCCATCTTCTCCTTCTTCAGTTTTTTCTTCTCCCCCTTCTTCACCTTCAGGGGCCTTCCTCTTACGACTCTTTTTCTTGGACGGAGCAGCAGCTGCAGGATCCTCCTCTGGTTTATCTCCTTCAGGAGCTTCAGGATCTCCATTCTGCTTGTCCTTGTCCCCCTGAAACAAAACGGTTTATACAACACTCACACTTAGGTCTTGGGCAGAACATGAAAACATAAATATTTCATATCAATTGCCTGTATCAGGGTCAAAAGAATAATACAGGGGAAAATAATTCCATATATGTTCTCACTTAATGTTTTACAGTTATGATCATAATACACGAAAAAACATAGACTGTTTTTATATGACTCATAATTTAATCACTGTATCCCACATGCTGCTAAAACCATGGCATATTTAACATAAATACCTCAGCTTCTTCACCCTCCTTCTCAGCTGCTTTCTCTTCCGTTTCATCAGGCTCCTCATCCACAGGTAAGCGATAGTATCCTGCTAAGCCAACTCCCCTCACCTGGAAAGGTTTACAAAATGGTTTAGATTTCAGCAAAACTGATTTGCAGTTTTCTGTGAATTCAGTAGCAAACATAGCTACAATAACACTTAGCATGGTGAGATATATGATATAGGGATCAAAACCAACTGTGTCAACCTGCTGTTTCAATAGAAATTGCAATCCAAGTTATAACTGGCTGGAAACTTACCAGCTGTATGTATCCATATTTGACACCACGTTCCAGTGCCACTTTGAGATACGCAGGTCGCAGGTCCACTCTCAGAGCTGGATAGTTACATGCAATGTACTGCTTCAGAGAAAAGAATCTCACGCCTTTAACCTGTTCTGTGTTAAGGATATAAACTGAAAACGACATTCCTATCATTAAAGTTTTATGTCACCCTTTCAATCCCAGGTTATCATTATATCAAATAGTATTATCGATTAGTATAGAACCTGTCAAAACTTTAACAATCTAATAAATAGTCATATAGCTGTAACTTAGTTAATAAAACAAGTGCAAAAGTGAGCGTGGCTCACTAATACCCCCGACCCGCCTAGTGTGTCAGTAGTAATTAAATAGCTAGGATAGGGTTAGGGTTTGAAAAATTCATAAAAAAATGGAAAATTAATAAAAACATTTTTTTTTCTTTTGACTGCACCCCTCACGCCATAGATTATATGTACTAAGTTTGAGATGAATCCCCTGAATACTTTAAGAGAAATCGCGCGGACAAAGTTTTCAAACGGACGGACGGACGGACAGACCGAACCTTGGTATAACTATATACCCCCGACATTTTGTCGGGTGTATAATAAAGCTGTTCAAAACACTACCACTTACAGCATAAACACAAAATGTAACACAATACAGTGTGGTATAACAAGGTGGGTTATTTAATAACAACAGGACAACCACTGGTCACCCAAAACCCTCTTATTCTGCTACATGTGTAACGTGTGAAGCTAAGAGAAGGATACAGGATTTCCTGCTTCTTTAATGGCTTCTTCTATGATATCCTTCATTTTGATCTTGAGTGTGTCAGCCTTCACTGTACTTCCTTTCCCTTTTGACTTCTTTTCTTTGATCAGGCCTTTGTATGGTGAAGATTCTTTCAGAGCAAATGCCTTGCCAAACTTGTCAGTGATCCTCTTTAAAAGGTAAAATAACATTTCCTGACACATGGAGACTTTTTTGGTAAAAGACAATTTCAAATTGCAGTCCTAAATGTGTGCAATCTAATATCTTCTGAGATGTGGAAATATCAAAATGCATTTCCACAAATTAAGATATCATGTATACTTATCCTGACTCATACTTATTGTGTGCAGTGCAGTGTAGTGTAGCTAAGTTCAGTACTTGTTACAAATATCTTTTTTAATATTCACTACAAAAGCCCTTTAGGTAATCTAAATCTTAAGGTTGTCCACGGGCAACTGAATATGACAGAGGAGAGACGCACTAACATGTATCATTCCACATGAATTTCAAATTTGACTTATCACTGTTCAGTATGGTTGGGCCGTCAAATCTCTCATCAGGACCCTTTGACTTAAATAATTTCAGAAGCTAAGAGAGAGAGAGTATGGTTTTACGCCGCTTTAAGCAATATTCCAGCAATATCACGGCGGGGGACACCAGAAATGGGCTTCACACATTGTGCCCATGTTGGGAATCGAAACCGGGTCTTCGGCATGACGAGCGCACACTTTAACCACTAGGCACCCGACCGCCCCTCAGAAACTAAAATGAAACCATGCTGTCACCATTTGCTTTCCAGCTGCATCTGATATACCTACCTTGTTAAACATTGGTTGATCAACCACAGCCGTCCCATCAAAGGAACAGGCCTCTCCAAAGTAGTCATACAGACTGTTGAGTGATACACGACATTCTTCCTTGGACTCCAGATTGGCTTCCATCCTACCAAAACATGACCGACCATCATCAACTTGAAACATTTATATGGAAAGTTTTAAAGAAATACAGACATTAACAGCATATCTGTGGTTTTAGTAACTTTTACTTAATGATGACTGCTGTATTCTGTAAAGTATCAAATTATCAACATACAAGTACTGATATAATTTGATCAGCTCACACCAACTGTTAATTATTTCCAAGGCTGATAATAGGTGGCCCAGGGGCTGACTAAGATGCCTTACCTCCAACCAATAGCTTTCAACTTGAGCTTCCTTTACAACTTTAACTGAAAACCTTTTCAAAGCAGTGTTAAACATGACCAATACACTTAACTACAACTTACCAGTCAATAAGCTTCTGCTCTGATGGAGGGATTGTTCTCTTTCTCTTCTCCAGGAGAATATTTGCATCCAGACCCTTCATGAGACTCCCTCCGATGGTGGCCTCCTTTGGCTTAATGGTGACAGTGCTGGGAACAGTCTTCACCGTCATCACTTCCTCGGACTCCCTCTCCCTCTCTTCACGTTCCTTCTCTGCCTGGTGTTCTGCCGCTGCCTTCTTCAGCTTTATCGCTGGCATAGTGTGTTGCTTGGATCTTATTTTCAATTTGGAAATTCAAAGATCTGCAACAAATAAGCAATGTTCATACATAGGATGCATACCTTTTGGCAAAAGAAGAACAGTTGACAGATAGCATATGAAAATAATAGTGGTGGGATGACACACCGATGCATCGCGATATTTTACTTCCCGATATAAGTATCGATCACAGTTGTACACTAAGTAAAAAATATTGATTTATACCCTAAATGTTTGCCTTAATTGTTTTACACCAAACACTAATTAGTAGTAAAAAAGTAAATATTTTCATCCATTGCGCCATACCTGACACTGCCAACTGTAGATCATCAGCGTGCAAGGTATTTGACAATCCTGTCTGTGAAAAATATGGGTTATGTACTACAGATACGAGCACATACAAGTATCGTGATACGTATCGGATTGTAAGCAAGGTATCGTGATACGTATCGGATTGTAGGCAAGGTATCGTGATACATGTCGGATTGTAAGCAAGGTATCGTGATACGTATCGGATCTCATAGTTGGTGTATCATCCCAGCCCGAGAAATTAACCCAGTCCAAATAGTGACACACATCAACCTTGAATGTTTGAAATTCTATTACCCCCCAGGATTGTTATGCCATGGTGGTACCTTCAAAAGGAAGATTGGGTAGCCTTGAAAAATCAAAAACAAAGTCGAAAGGTTACTGATCAAGCTGAGGGCCATTCTTTCCTCTAAAATGAGCTGATGTTACACACCCTTTAACATGTAGTCAGAACTAATGATGAATCAGCATACTACTAAACAGATCATACACATTGCACATCAAATGTGCACATTTATTGTGGTGTGCACCAGTGTTTGAAATAAAAAACAAACTTGGCCATCAGGACCCACCACAGGCTATAGAAGCTGCAGGCCTTGACTAAACTCTTCAGGCCCTCATTTTAAGAACTGTAGCTTATTGTCAGGAATAAATTGACACAAATTTATTGTCACATACATATGTAACTACAGGCCCGACTTAAGCTCTACCTGCTACAGGTCTGCGCTTATTTCAAACATTGCTCTACACGGGTTGTGATAATGTATTTGTTCTCTCGAAGTCTGTGGTCTGTACCCTTTGACAACCCCAATCTAGATAAATGTTATGTGTTTGTCCCAACAAACAGGAGATGCAATAACTGAATATGATTTGTCATGTGTGTTGTCTAATGCAGTACTCTGCAATATTATGGGGGTATAATAACCTATGCTTGCCGTAAAAGGTGACTAACAGGATTGGGTGGTCAGACTCGCAGACTCCGTTGATGCATGTTACCGTATTCAAATTGCGTGGATCAATGCTCATGATATCAATCACTGGTTTGTCTGGCAATGACTTGATTATTTACAGACCACTGTCATATAGCTGGAATTTTGATGAGTGTGGTGTTAACCAACAAACAAACCACATTATGAAAAAATAATGTTTGCCTGAAACGGGTGAATACATATACAAAAAAAAAATCAAGTAGGACCAGCCAGAGCTTTTGGGATTATTTTAAGTTACTGATCGTTACTGAGACCATCCAGAATGTTGAAGAATAACATTTCGTTGGAATCGTAGACTGGTGACTGTTCTGAATAATGTAATTGGATTGAATGTTGCTGAGATTGGGAAAATATTGTCTTTGATCAATGTAAGCATGGTAAGGTGAATAGTAAAATAGTGTTTGCTTCCTGTATTATACCAAATTATATATATGTGCCGTTTTCACCAACAAAATCTGGTGCTGTCTTAACCTGATCCAAACACAAGTCAGCTATTTAGACACAAGTAGAATTCGAAAAGACTAATGGCATTTCCTTGTAGATTTCTATTTTGATCATTTGACAGATGGCAATTCTGTACCACATCAATATTACTGACAAGTGAAATTACTAAAAATAAATATATAATTCTAACCCTTCTTAGTAAAGACTACAATTTCTAAAGCCAAAGTCCAGTAATGATACTGCCAAAATAAATGGCTAGCAGATTGAAAGGTATTTGGCACAGACATTAAGTATCCAAACATTCAGCTTCATACTATTAGATAGTTTATTCCTGGCAATTAGTTTTCAGGACTTTATCTACTTAGTTATTACAAACAGAAAATGATACATATGAGCTTAAATAATGTTTGGTCTAAACTGAAATCCTCATAAAGAAGCCATACCATGGAGTTGCATGCACTTACACAATAAACATTTACATCATGATATAGCATAAACAAAAAAATAATAATACGAAATAAATATAACTGTATCATTTGATATTATGTATTAAAGCGCCCAAAATAAATCTAAAACATTCCTGACACGCTTTCATGGTTTATGATTTTTAACCTGTAACATAAAGCTTATCTGTGATTAACCCGAAATAATAACTTGCTTACGTCCAATGAAAGTGCACTACAAACAGGTTGTTTTGATTGTTATTAGATCTATTTATTGATTTACTGGAAAAGCAATATTTTGTTATTGATACTAACAACGACCAAGTGAATAATTAAAACAGTTAATTATATTAACATGAACAAATACACTCAAACACATTGACAAAGAGATCGAGGATATGACTAATGACACATCTGCCAATTATTAGTTTATTTAAGAAGAAAAACAACGTGATAAAGTGAAACCACAACAAACTCTCCCCCAAACACTGAACAGGTGCCCTTTCACACACACGTGTAAATTATCATATAATGCAAATGTTGACACAATCGAATAACAACATAGTCAATGTAAGTGTTTGTTAAACATATCGACATGCAATTCAAGGTCGCATGTTCAACGATATGAACGAAGTCGCGTTTCTGCATATCCGCAGGAAACAAAATAAATCTCAGGTCACTCGATTCGCAAACTTTCGATGCACCCTATTTATTCTCGATGCATGCAAACACAATTAATTTCAGCGCATGGGATGCAACAAAGGTCATTTGACATAACATATTAATATTTGCAGAACATGATGCCAAAATAAATACAAAAGATGAGTATTAAAGAAACACACCAATCTAAAATGCCACCGGTTCTCTTTTCTTGTGTACTCTCTAGCGTACACAAAGAATGATGACGTCATGATATCATGTGTACGACTCAATCTGCCAACAGAGGGCGCTGGCATAACAAGTCTGTTTTTTCAGGTTTGACGGAAATAGCCGAACGTGGGATTGTGTATGACTCGGATTGTCCCGGAAAGGCGCGAGATATTGACGAAGGGATACGACAGCAATCTTGATCACTCGTATCATTCCGGGAGGAGCCGTTTCTTCATGACACATGCAATAGTTGGGACTTGTTCTGGTGGAGTTGTGTCCCTTATTCCGTTTGTCGGAGAAACAAGGACATTTGTGACATCGACACACAGACTTCATACAAGTAATTATTGCTGAATTTGAAGATTTTGATTTAGATATAAGCAAGTCTAAACATCACTTAGTAAAAAAATCAAAATTTATAAAAAGAGATCAATAATTTTTCTTTCAGTTGTTGTTATATATGATGCAAATTGTGTATGTTTTTTTTTTATGAAGACTATATTTACGATAACACTTTCTTAGTAAAGTTCCAATTCTAGTACTTTTTTTTGTGGAGTTGAGTCCCATCCGGGATTCGAACCTACAGTCTCGGAATGAGGCAATTGCATTGCCAGTACACAAAGTCAGTTCCTCTCCCGAATACTAAATACCATCTAAATTTATTTTTTCTCGAGCTCATTGCTGAACAATGTATTCTGCATGCTACTTAACACGAATTTCAAAAGCATTGAGAAAAGGGTGTCATTCGAAATTTAATTAATGGACAATATCGAAAAAAAAGAAATATTGAATATATCGAAGAAGTACACCATTAATTTGTTTAAAATGTTGAATCCGCGTACCACTACGAAGTTATTTGCGCCCCGCGTACCACACTGCACCTAGTCCCGAATACCGTTTAAATGGACCCCCCGAATGCCGCGTACCAAAAGGGGGTTGGCAGCCGCTAGACTGTGTACCGCTCTGATAAGTGTAAATTGACACGGCGCCATTGCTAAAGCTATGAATACGCTAAGTTTGTTTTTAATCGTCTAATTTGCCCAGAAATATAATTTATTTTATGCTTTTCGTAACGAAACAGTAAATATATCTGAAAATAAAATTAATATTAACACAAAGTGAAATAAAATTTCAGTTTCAGTAACATAATTCTTTTATCTGCCTCGGTGTTTTCAGGTATGTTTTTTTCTCGGCTATTATCGACAAGAATCATTTGAACGAAGAGGGGGCACGGGTGTCGTCTAAGGCGCCGCGATTCGCTGTGCAGAGTTGCGTCCCTTGGGCAGGCCAGTAAACCTTGATTGTGGGTTCGAATCCCGCTTCACCCTGTTTATGTATCTAGGTTTTTCAGCACCATACTCGTGCTCGTGGGTTTCACCGAAGTAGTAAACGTCTGAGACCTGCATCACTTCGGGCTTTTCTCCCACATTTAGCTGACACGCCGCGATATAACTGTAATACTGATAAAAGCCGTGTTAAACCCAACTCAAGAACAAGAGTGAACGAAGATTTTGATGTGACACAGCAATACAGTGGACCTGACGCGGTTCGTGATGTCTTTTTTGGTCGGATCACTCTTTCAGGTACGCCCCAACATGTCATATGACAAGATGAACAAATACATTATTTATTTCGTTCTGTATTAAATCTGTTTTCGCTCAGCTCGTTTATGAGGACGTGTCGAGTGATGGCTTGTCTCCCCTTGTATAAGACGACGCTCTCCCAACTTTCCGACAAAGAGGTGTTGGCGGGACTCACAACATGGCATCTGCATTACGACAAGAATATAGAGCGATTATAACAAAAGTTGTGTGTGTATGTGCATGCGAGTGCGTGTGTTTGTGTGTCACTGTGCAGGGGATGGGTATTGTGGGCAGGCACACACACACACACACACACACACATACACACACATTTTTTTTAAAATCCCGGATCTGCCTCTTATACTCACATGCGCTTTCATCACAAAACTGAGTAAATAAATGGAGGTCCATTTGTATGGCTTATCATTTGACTGTACAAAGAGCCTGCCTCGGTGGTCTAGTGGATAAAGCGTCTGCCCACAGAGGGCAAGTTTGTTGGTTCGATCACATTTGCACGCATGAACTTAAATTACGCACACAGGTCGGTGGTTCGCTTCATACCAAAATATCTTACGCACGCAGGCGCTTTCGCACGCAGGTATACGTACGCATGCAGGTCGGTGGTTCGATCTCCGGCATGTCATACCAAAAGATGTTACGCATTATATATATGCACGCAAGCACTTACGCACTACGCACTCAGGTTGGAGGTTCGTCATACCAAAAAATGTTACACACTTACGTACACATGCTGACACTTATGCTCGCAAGTCGGAGGTTCGATCTCCAGACGCGTTTTACCAAAAGATGTCAAGCAAGCAGGCACTTACGCATGCATTTATGTACGCAGGCACATATGGCATCAAAGCTTCCTGAAAAAACTTTGAACAGTTGCTATGAAGAACCTTACAAGTGCCTTAAAGTAAAATTCATGAGAAAATATCGATCAGAATGTTAAACCTAATGTCGCCACAGCCAAAAGCGATATCCACAACAAAGCTGCGTTATACATATTACGTATGGAGACAATTTGTTTAAAGTTTGGAAGCATTTCATCCTTTAGGTTCAGAGAAGTATAGTTTTGAAGACATGTACCTCTCAAAATAGTAAAATGCACTGTGAAAATCAAATATGGCCGCCAAGCCATGTTACTTTTGACGTGCAACCAAGAACAAAATTGTGAAAAATACAGCATCAAAACTTCTTGCAAAGTGTCAATAGTTTGAAGAACCTTACAAGACAACATTTTTTATAGTAAAATTTAGAAGAAGGAATCCAGCCGAATAATAACCTTATATAGCTGCAACCAAAATTGATATCTAAAACACAGACAATACAATGTCTTAGTCAGTGACACTATTTAGACACATTCTGTAGAATGACCAAACACGTCGAAAGTGTGATTAGCACTGGGATGTATAAGTTGAGTTTAACACCGGTTTGAACAGTGCTTCAGTTACGAAGGACGATTGACTTCTTAGCTTTAAGGGGGCACGGTTGTCCCAGTCGTCTAAGGCGCCGCGATTCACTGTGCGGGGTTGCTTTCCTTGGGCACGCCAGAAACCTGTGATTGTGGGTTCGAACCCCCGGTTCGCCCCGATTAGTTCTGTTTGAAGCTGATCCAGAAAGGTTCTTGCAACGATTTGCAAATCTGTATGAAAATATGTCACCAAATCCCTGTCTCAAAGATTAACCATAATCAAGGAAGGACTTTATGTACCCAGAAAGTATTTGAGTCAAATGGATTTAATACCAAGTGGATTCTCAAAAACTATAAGGAATTTGCTTGAATGTATGCAATTGGAAAAAGGTTAAATTATGTCAAAACATTTCATATTTTAACTTTGTACACCAGTATCCCATACAACAAACTTGAGAGAAAGCATCATTCCTTGATCCAGGGGGCATTTGTCACTAAACGTGGTGAACAAAGATGTCGTTACATCTCCATCGTCAAAGATTCAGGACAATTGGGCGAGAATGTAAGTAAATAACATCTGAAGTGTAAAGACAAGACAAGACTACCATCTGTTCCCAAAATTGAAGAAATCACCAACCAGAACCCATTTCGACTCAAACGATGACGTCATAGCAGCTTTGAAGAATTGTTTTAACAACCAAGAGAAGGACTTCTACGAAAATGGGATATAATACCACCGACATCTTTGGAAAAGGATTATGTTGAAAAAGAAGTCAGTTTAATGTCTTTATATTAGGTCAAGTCTTTCTAATTAAGGCTCAAAATGTAACAATCACCCCTCGTATTGTTCAGTGTATGACAGAAGTAAAGTTCTCACTTAAGTGGGGGCACGGTAGGCCCAGTCGTCTAAAGCGCCGCGATTCGCTGTGCAGAGTTGCGTCCCTTGGGCACGCCAGAAACCTATTATTGTGGGTTCGAATCCCGGTTCGCCCCGTTTATGTTTCTAGGTTTGTCAGCACCATACCCGTGCTCGTGGGTTTCACCGAAGTGGTAAACGTCTGAGACCTGCATCACTTCGGGCTTTCCACACACATTAGGCTGACACGCCGCGATATAACTGTAATACTGTTAAAAGCGGCGTTAACCAAACTCACTCACTCACTCTCACTTAAGTTGTAACATAACAAAAGTGGAAATGTGTTTTGCTCAAGAATATAATTGTTGTATCTACGTTCGTAGGATGCGATGCCACTATGCTACAGTTCGCCATATATGATTACTGAACATAATGCATATTTAATCGATACCGCACTACTATTACTATGTGGGTTTACCCCCAGACGTAATTCGTGATGTAGCCAATCGCTCATTAGTTCCGTTTCTTATTACAGTGACGTTATGCGTAAGCTTGTGATGCGGGAGAAATGATGGATAGGGTCGCGGACTGTATTCACTCAAGGCTGCTGACGAAGTAAAACGTGGACCATGAAAGAAGACTCCACTGCATAACATAGCTCAAGGAGATAGCATATAGAAGCAGAATGGTCCATATGTCCTTCACTCCCTTGGATATTAAAAGGCATCTTACTTTGTTATTCGTGGTATTCCTGGAGCGATTCTATATAAGTTATACGTGGGCAATGATATATATGTATGTTGTTTGCTGTTTGGATTATATTAGGAAAATATGCTATACATCTTGATATGCGTGGGATTTGTGTATTTATTATCATTCTACATATATACACTCCGAAAAACGAAAATAGAATAGTCAATTTTGAAAATCGCATCCTGTACCTCTAATGTTCTGACGAAATGCAGTTGGTTTTGTTTACAAGCTCAGTGACGCATACCTTCTCAACATTGGTGAAAACTGCAACTCAACATATAGTAGGGATATCGATACAACTCAACAGTTGGTGGGGATATTGATACAACTCAACATTTGGTGGGGATATTGATACAACTCAACATTTGGTAGGGCCCAGTCGTCTAAGGCGCCGCGATTCGCTGTGCAGAGTTGCGTCCCTTGGGCACGCCAGACACCTGCGATTGTGGGTTCGAACCCCGGTTCGCCC